CAGATATGATACACTTGGGATTAGAGGGCTAAAAGGACCTTGAGTCTGTTTTAAAATGTCCCAAACTGTAGCACAGTGTATTTGAAATTCATCACAAAGGCAGACACATTTGTATCAAGTGGCATGTAAATGTTGCATCAGCAAATCTTGTTTGTGCCGATTTGTAATAAAAAAGAAAGCGAGTGTTAAAAGCTTCCACCTTTGTGTGAATTATATGTAAAATATGGCACAATCTGTGAGTGCAAGCCATCCTTAAGAGCAGACGAAAGTGCAAGTTTTCCCTCCTCTGAAAAGCAGCTTGTGACATTTGAGAGATAATTGACGCTGCATTTTTTTTCCAGCCCTCACAGCCTCTTTCCCTGTAGCCCTTCATTTTCCCAGGAGTGACCCGGCGCGCTCCCGTGAAGTGCTCTTCACGAGGTTGTCATCCAAAAGGTCAGGTCTGGAGAGAGAAGGGGCCGTAGAAGAAATAAGATGGAGATCCCGTCATCCATCTCGCTGTCTGGATCAAGACACCAGCCTGACCTTTAACATTATATCAGCTTCAACAAGCTGTCAAAGTGCATGTGGGAGTGCTGCTCGTGTTGCCTGTTCGCCTGAGTGTGTATACAAGACAAAAAGAAAGAGAAACAGATACTCAGAAAGCTTTTAATGACAGCGCTTCTGATGTTCAACAACGCGTGATTAGAACTTGGCTGTCATGTGAATTTTCATAAAAGTAAATATATGCAAATCTTATCCTCCGGCTGAATCGAGTTGTTGGACAACAGCATGAAATTATTAGAGTTCACAACAAAGCTAATAAATGGATAAACATGAGGGTTGTTTCAAGAAAGGCATCTGTGAAATGTGTGGATCCATCTACTATGGCAACCCCTTGAGAAAAAAGGGAGCGGCTGAAAACACCTTTAAGTTACTGTACAATAAATGGCAATCACAGCTTTTAGGAGCCACAGGTGACATCTTCAAATTGCTTTATGAGTCTGATCACGAGCCCAAAATCTCCAGTCAGCACTCATATAAAACCAGTAAATCCTCACAAACTGAGAATCTGGACAGACTAAGATTGTGATGGCCGTAACTCAGGATGCTGAGCAGGCAGAAAGCATTTCAGCGTGGAAAAAAGTGCTTGTGTGAATGGGTGAATGAGCATGTTGTATAAAGTGCTTTGAGTGCTTGAGTAGAAAAGCACTATATAAGAACCAGTGCATTTACTATATTTAAATAAATTATCGGGTTATTAACTTTTCCTCTGATTATTTTCTTTGATTCTTAAATTAACCAAAAAGTGTTGATAATGTCTCCATCACACACACAAAAATAACATTGCTATTGCAAATGTGCAAAAGAGCCCTGTTGAGGCTGTTGTCAGCATATACCATGTGTTTTCCTGTGTATGTTGCATATGTATTACTTGCACTTGAAACACATCTATCACATCTTTCTAGCCTCCACACAAACTGCAGCTCTTCTTTTTATTTTTACAGGTCCTAGAGAACAGAATTCACATCAGATGCATAGATGACAATAGCTTGAACCGGACCATTTCCTGTGTGGCCTTCTCCCTAACTATCCCTCCACCCTCCTCCATCCAATAAGGACTCATGTTCTGAGATCTTGTCATCTACCTCTTTTAAAATCACTGAGCAAAGAATCTTTTCGCCATCTAGATCTATAATCTGTTATAGCCTTTTGTCTTATATCTTATGTCGGCACTCTGGTGTACCTTCGGTTTTAAATGTGCTATATAAATAAAGTTGTATTGTATTGTATTGTATAAGCAGCCGCACTGGATAGGCTATTGATGTTTGTTCTACCGCTGGTTTGCAGATAATATAGAACAGTTACTAAAAGACAAATGTGGGTCAAATGTGCAGTAATGTGGAAGCAGGCAGGCGTAGGTGCTTTAAATGTAACAGTGCTGGAACCTTCTGCAGGAAAACAAGGGGCAAAAAGACAATACATACACACACACTAACAGCAGGCCATGTAAGAGGAGGACAGAGTGGGGACACGGCACCTCCACACTTTTATGACCTGTGGGTCCAGGGGACACGAACACCACATGTGTGAAATGAAAGTGTGGGAGTGGGTTATAGTGTGAAGCCACTGAAAATGTGTTATTTTATACGTCCTTCACACAAAATCGGTGAAAGCTGAGGAGTCTGTGGTTAAAACGATGATAAATCGCATCTTTTTACTTTTGATAAACATGAGAAACAGCACACAGGGGTTCATTTAACACGTCTCATCTGTTTACTCTGTGAAACTGACAGCGAAAAGGTTTCACTGCGGGAATTTGTTTCAAAAAATTTAAAAAGGACAGAGCTATCATTTATGTCCTTGTCTAATCCTCAATGGCTCACACGCAAAAAACTACACATGTATCTAACACATTTCTAATTACATATTTTATGCCCTTTATGATGGCATAAGATAATAGTTTTTGTGTTCTGTCACACAGTCAGAGCAAGGTGCTGACTGCTGTTGGGTCACATTGCTGTAAAGGTGTAAGCAGTAAAACAAACTTCCCTATCATTAAAACGTATAAACAACCTTTCTTTACAATCCTGTGAGATGCACTGAAAAAGTTTAATGTCTAAAGGTGAGCCGTGCTATTGTTAGCTGTTGACTTTTATCAGAATTTTTTGGACTGGATGTAGTCCCATAAGTAATACATGAAAACAGCATCCTGTTCTGGATGTGAAATGCAGCAGCGGGTAAGGTAGTTGTTGAGTCTACATTCTTTGAATAACTATGAGGCAAGAAACATAAATCAGATCCTAAAATGAGAACGGGGTATTCATGGAACAGCCTCCAGCTCCAAGGAAGAATAAACACACCTGAGCTTCTTTCACTGTAAAAAAGAGAATAAACACTGCAGAGCTACACAAAAACTTTCTATGACTTAATAAAGTCAATGTGCAGTTTTATAGCTACTGTTTTTTCCAAGTCACTCTCAAGATTGAGATTTTTAGAGCTGCAATAAAATTCATTTAATATTTGGAATAATGCATTTTCTTAATCAGCAAAAAGCAACAAAATGTCCACAGCAGAGCCCACAGTGGTGTCTCAAAGTGGCATTCTGGCTACTAATGCAGCTGTTCTTACTAAATTTGCGCTATTCACCTCTGCTTTCTATTTCTTTGGAAAATAAGGAGCTGGATAAATTCTGACTGACCGAATCCCAATCACCATACCCATCTGCACATACAGGTGCCAAAAAAATATTCTTCCTTCTTTTGAATTTTTTATATACAACCTAAACCTTCATCTGAATTTAACACGTTCATATTTACTGCTAATCCTTGACATTCACGTACTTTTGCACCTTAGTGAAATATCGTCATGATGTTGGGTTTCTGTTGATTTCCTGTTTTCATTTAATCATTTTTAGTCACATTGTGGTTTGGCACCTCTCCTTCTTGTTCATCTTAGTTTTGCCTCCTTTATTATTGTGTTCAGATGAACTGGGGCATAAGTACAATGTACCTGCAAAGCCTTGATGGTGTTGTTCTTCGCAGAGTTTGACACTCTGGTTTCTTGAGAAACAGAAATGTGAGGCTTTCACCTACCAGTTTATTGCTTCACAGTTTTGAACAACACTGAAATTGCTGACAGGCATCGAACGCTCTGTGTCAAAAAAGCACAGTCAAAGGAAGCCTTTGTAAATCCAACACTGCAAAGGTCTTTTTGATCTTGCTTTGGGTTTTGCCACGTCTTGCAAAAGGGAAGCAGAGGCCCACAAAGAAATACACAAGAGAGAAATGTGTGCAACATCAAGCAAGAGGGCAACTGGATTTACCACAGTTTTCCCTCTCCACGGTATGTGTCATGACGAAGGCATTAAATCAGGGTTTACATAAACTTAAACCTAGCTTTAGAGGGGATTTTTCATGTCTTCTACCTACCATTTAAATGGTTTTTGTTGTGCTGCAGGTAGCACTTTTGGATCCTAAATTGTCTTGAGGCACTAGAGACTTTTTCAGCAGTAATGTAGAACACAAAAGAACATTTCTGGAGACTACCTCCGGGTAAGTATTGACTGAGGAAGTCCCCAGGGAACTGCACACCTTGTTGCTTTGATGTTGTTGCATGCCTAGTACCGTTTTGGATAGAATGACTAGCTAGTATGCTCATATTTTACTTTGATTTATGGTCATGGTCATTTCTTTCAGAAATACATCTCAAACTGACAATAAAAAAGAGAGACACTGTATCCCACAAAAGTATCACAAACTATGCAGAATCCGGTTATCCTTCTTGATCCAGTGTGTCAGTTCCTGCATGATCCAGAGAGAATTTTTAGCCTTGCTCAAGACACACAGTCTTGGGACTGCTCTTGTTTGCTGGTTGTTCCGTTTTTTATGAGTATGACCAAAAATGTATTCTTGTAACAATGTATCCAGTGTAAGTCTGCACTATTAATAGTGTACTTCCTAGGGCTGCTCAACCAACAAAAAACTTCAATTCTATAAAACAACTGTATCCCCTTAAGTGGGATTTAGTTGAACTTTTAAGTATTGCCAGTTCTAAATAAAAACAGCGAGCATAAAGTGGAAATAGGAAGAGGTAATGGGTATACAGTCATCTGATAGGGAGTTGGGCCCAGACTCACAGGTGTTTTTGACTGTAAACGATGTTACAAGAGCATCTGCCAGCTTGCAGTCTCCACTAATGTAGTGGGGAAAATCCAGACAGCAAGAGTCCAAGGAGCAGCAATTCGCTCGTTTTGGGAGACCTGCATCATATCCACACAGAGAGATGGAGAGTTGAATCTGACAACCAATTATATCTGTTGAAACCTTTTGTGCTTTTTCCTCCTTCTACTTTCCTCTTTCCATCAATTTAACTTTGAGCTGAGAGACTTTGTGCAGGGATGCAAAAGGTCATCTAGATCTATCAAAAACATCTTACATTTCAAAAATGCATAAATATTTTTGAGAAAGTAACGTAAACTTCACTTTCCCCATAAGCAGTAAAACCACTGGGACCACAAATTAAAGAACATTTCAAAAGGTTTATTACTTGTGCAATAATTTAGGCTTCCAGTATTTTTAAAAAATATGCCTGTGACAAGCAACACACATCTAAAATACACTGGTTCTTTTTACTTCTGTAGTCTGTAACAAAATGGACTGCCTTTGATTTCTTGGGACCATATTGCTCCAATATCTTAAATAAAACAACAGTTACATTCCCTTTAAAACTAAGAAGACAGTGATTACATACTTTAATATTTTAATGAATATTGTAACATCTAATAAAGCAATGGATCTGTTGTGAAATTCTCAAATACTCAAAGCTAATATTACAAAGTTAATAGTGAGACCAAGATCACCCAAACTACAGCAGTCGGCACGGAACAAACAGTGATGTAATCTGCACCTAAATGTAAATACAGTAGCTACCTTTATTAGTAGTAGTATGGCACACATGAGCTAAATACTTAATACAGCATTTAGAAACATCTGTCCAGATCACATGTGCAGATGATTCCGTGGGCATCTGGATGGTGAGGGCTTGGAGCCAGAGAGAGGAAATTTGTTAACTTAATTCAAAATCTATATTTACAAAGCTGGAAATGTCAAAACAGTCATTTTAGACCTGGGAATTCTCAAATTAAAACCTATTGCCAAAACTTTTTTTTCTTGAAAAATGCTTCAACATGCCATCTTTGTCCCCATAAATCTTAGTTTACACATGTCAAAACAAGCTCCATCATTACAGATGTAATGGAAAGATACAGATTTGGGGAAAAACAAAAAAACAAAAAAGCGCCTTCGGCGTCTTTATTCTTAAGGTGCTGAAGTAACTGGCTCCAAGCCCGTGAGCTGGGGTTGGGAATCTGTTTTCTACCCTTCCTACTCTGTCTCTCTGATCTTTCTATCCGCACATTGCACTCCTCTATCTGACTCGTTTTCATTCATTCCAAGTCTGGATACACTCATAGTAACAGTTTATATCACAGGAAGCGAGTTTGTTCAGTTGGAGTCCTGCATTTCCACTCCTGAAGCTTCTTCAGCTCCACCTTCACTGGACTGCTCCTCATCTGGAAAAAAAAACACATAGAGGATTTTTCATCAGTTTTTCTAACAGGCTACTTTCATTTCTGTGTTTCTGTGCATTTGAAGCTAAAGGTTTAAGATAGAATTAGATGAGAGGATTACTATCGCTATGGTGCGCTCGCCAGCAGCCTGGAACACATGTAGTCTTGTCATCGCCATGAGGTTTAATGCTGCTCTTCTGCTTTCATTTTACAACATCAAGTGCTACTGACAAGAGGTAACCAACCAGAGGTAGGTCCATACTCAGTGGCATAAACTGAGGTAAAAAACTATCCCTTCAAATGACTCGTTGTAAGTGGAAAAAATGTGCTGTTATCCTGAATTGTATGACTTCGTGCTTTGTCCAGGAGCCAGCTGATAAGACAGAGTCGATAACGGCATTCGTTTTTCACCTCACTGATGCATATAATCACGATATTATGGTGGCGCATATCACTGCATGTCTGCTCTTGAGTGTTTCCTCATTTTTGTTCTGCTCATGAAGTAGGAATGACTGCAAAGTGTACACTTAGCATAAAGAACCAATGACAGGAAGCCATTACAGGAAGTAACCTTTTATAGTGATGCTATAAGCAACTGATGTTCATTTCTTAAGGCAAGTCAGGGGAAACTATGCAAATAACTCACATGTCTCAGCTGCTTGTAGGGCTATATGCCCTTCAGTGCTATATATAAGTTGAAGAATCTTTAACTTATATATATTTGGTGTATTTGTACTTTTGGCACCTCAGTAAGGTGTAAAAATACTGCTGTCACACTATGATTGACCTGAGTAGGATATTAAATGACAACTTTCATTTTGACTTGGAGTCATTTCAATTTGTTGTAGTGGTACTTTTCTTTAAGTGAAGTTTCAGTATATGTACACTTTTGCCAACAGCCAAATACCTTCTGGTCTTCTAATTACGTGCATGTGACTTTTATTTACACAACTTCTTATCAGACCACTTCGAATCTAACTGTGCCAAAAAGCCAAGGCAATGTTAGTTTCTCTTTCCTTTTCACCTTCAGTTTGCTCATCCGTACGCTTTCTCTCAGTCTGGGCGTCTGCAGAGCTCGGATCATCCGGGGGCCAGCGGAGTTCTCCACTCTCCACCTCACTTCCGTCTGTTGGCTCCACGACTATAGAGGGAAGCCTCTTGGACAACTTTGGATACCTTTCATGGGTATCTGGGAAGATCTGTTTAAAGTTTATGTAAGGTTAAAACGAGGGCTTCATATTTGTGGGGATGAAAAGGTCACTGTGGGTACCACATGTGAAAGAACAATAATGCGGTAAAAATTGGATTAAAAAAACAGAAACTGTCTGCATCAGATGGAAGATTTGAGACAGACTTCGTGTGAAGTCTTTGCATGACACTCAGTTGAAGTTTCATAGGTACATGCTTGGATTTAACATAAAAACATGATGAATGGTAAATGGTAGATGAAGGTCAGTCTGCTCTGACTGGTCGTCTGGCTTAGAGAAAACAAGGAATTGGTTACCTGGTAACGCCAATGCACGAATAGAAAAGCAACCCTGTAACATTGTAACACTGGTTCTTCTAAAGAGCCAGCAGGTCTTTGAGGTTTTCTTCCACTTGCAATGCAAAACTGCCAAAACTGCAGTTTCTCAAATGCCACTGAACAGCTGTTAGTCTATTCAAGTGTTGGCCTTCAGTCATTCAGATACAGGCTATTTTTTACATAAATGTGTCATGGCTATATTTTACTTGATCTACTCTTGATACTTTAATCCTATACTTAGAGAGTTCTTAGGAAATGCATCAGACAAAATTATTAAGCTATAACTTATAAACTGTTTAGTTTATTTTTAACCACAACTAGCACAGCAGATATCTTCTGCCAAAAAATTGTTGTTTCTTTTTTATTTCAAAAGGCTTCAAAGACAGTCAGTCTTCTAGCGATCTGGGCAATTTATAGAAATTCAGAAAGAATGCAACATGTGCAGTTGCAATCCTGTTTGCACCTAACCACCTAACCTCAAACTTAACAGCGTTCATTCAGGCTTGTGTTGTGCGGAAAGTGAAGGATTAATGTTTGCAGGTCCAGAATGGAAAGCTGACCAGGGTGCTCATCCACACGTGAACTCGACACATTCATCATCAGATTAACGGAGATGTCTGAAACGGGTTTACAGCTAATCTCCCCCCTTTCTGACAACTAAATGCATTTAAATGATATTAAGGCCTAAAGTGATGAATAATTAGGGGTATGGATGTTGTTTTTTCTTGTTCAGTTGAGTTTTGCTAAAAGACAGTCTAAAGAGTTGATAATTTTAAACATGCTTTATTTATCCATTGTCAGCATGCCGTTTAATATTGCTCTAGCTAGCTAACACAGCTAGTTAGCTAGTGCTGGCCTTAAATGACAACTTCTCAGGTCTAACCTCTCCTATGACTTAACTTAAAATAAAAAGATCAAAAAGAAAAACATCTACATACAAAAACAACGTGGTTCCAAAATGGTCAACAAACCAAAAGGTGACGTCTTGATGACAGCGTCTGAACTTGAAACAAAAAGGTGGCGCCTCTTTTTTTTTTAAATTTTATTTCCAGTGGAATAAATTAGCCATTCTCTAGGTATTTGAAAGGGTGTAATGTTCATATTTAGTGTGTAACTTCTTCGTGGGACTTCATGTATTACTTTTCAGATATTTCAATGTGGATCAAACAAACATTGTTATTAGCTATGCTGCTAATATGGCTAGTAATTTAAATAACACAGGGAGGAGCTAATAACATGTATTCACTGACTCAGCCATAAATCTAACCACAAGTAATAGTTAATGAAACACATTATGACAAAATATGTTATTTAAACTGTTGATATTATACAGTCAATAATTTAGCTGTCCATTTGTTGGATACGCCATTTACCATTTGTTCAAAGCAGCACTGAGTCCAGCTAATGACCTTTGTCATATCAACCAGCATTTTATGGTTGCTCATCACTTCTGTGACTCACCGCTGTATGCTTTCTGCTTTCTGCTTTCTGCTCAAATGAAACGAGACTGGTTTGAAATTGTCTAATTGCACATATTCGCACACACAAAGCAAAGGATACTGTGGCCTGATCTCCTCCTGCTCCTCCCCCGCTGAAGTCCTCTGTCCCCGGCTCCAGAGAGTTCATCACCTCAGTCATCCTGGAGAAAATCACAAGTCAATAAACTGTCTTCACTTTGTTTCTCTGCTCTTTCCTTCCTTTTTTTGTCTTAAGCTGGGTTATGTGACACACTGTCTGTTCAAGGTTCTCTGATTTTACTTGCACCCTCTGCGTTAAAACGGCATTTTTCACGATAGTTACTTATGTCGAATTTTAGCTTAGGAGATTATTTATAGGACTAATAGGACTAACAGTGTTTCTGGTAATACAGAAGTTTGTTCTAGGTTGATTCGCCCCTATTTCTGGCACTAACTGGCTAACAGTAATGGGCAATTAGTGTTAATGGTCACAAACACTAAAAAAAGTCAGGCAGTGGTGATTAACAAATGCTCAACAATGAAGGCTGACAGCAACGGCTGACTAGCAACTCGATGTGTAACATGTATAACACTATCCAATACAGTCTGATGTACTTTCCGTACTTCTGGTAAACTAGGACCAACATGTTTTATTTCTAAAACAACGGCTATGGAGGTTTCATGTAGCGTTTTCAGTGGCATTTCGTCACGCATGCAAATGACTTCCTCAGTTTCAACTGACTGCAGCTTTCTCCAGCTTTATAAACAGTACATTTGAATAATGACCAAAACTAGCATCATTCCCTAACCACAATTCACTGATTAACACTTCAAGTTCACCAGGAACTTGACTTAGTATATATGAAGGAGGATAAGAAAATAAAAGGTTAGCTTTCTTAGACTGTGAAGTTCCCATCACTATTGCAGGATATTTGAAAGTTGATGTGTGCCGTGAACGAATGTAACTGTATTAGGAGTTAGGGTTTGACTCTCGTAATCCACCGAAGAGCAAACTGGGTTTCATCAGGACACAACAAAACAGAGCAAACACCATCGCCACACAAACGGAAGCCAAGGAAGCGAAAGAGCATCATATCAAAAAGGCCCTTTGTAAATGTGGGTATCCCAGCTGGGTAGTCGTCAAAGCTGGCAAGGCACCTAAAGAATGTTCCAGGCAAGCCAGAAGAGAACAAGGACAACTGTTGCCACCTAAACAAAAGCCTTTAGTGACCACTTATGAGTCAGGCATATTAGAAAAGCTGAGATGCACTTTTTTCAATACAACGCATCTCTGTGGCTTTCTAACCCTAAAACAGAAACACCAAAAATATGTGCACCCCAAGGATTGGGTTCCCGGGGTACAAACAGTAATATAATGTATGCTGTCAAGTGCTAGGGGGATTGGAGGATTAAACAAACTCTGGCTAAGCAGATGGCACAACACAGAAGAGATACCTTGTCAGGCAACGACTCTATTTATACCTAAAGACCAGTTCCCAGTTCGAGCAGGAGGTCAAGGGATCCATTCATGTGAAAAGGGAAAGATCGTCTCTGAACAGAGCCGGGAACCTAAGGATACATCTTTTACCGTCTTACAGTGCTGTGACTGCAGCCATTCCCTGACTCTCTTTGAATGGCACTAATGGCCATTAATCTATAGTCATGACAATTTTATATAACTGATCAAGTCACTGACGTCACAGCCCATCATGCTAGTTTTGGTCATTATGCAAATTTACTGCTGATAAGGTGGGTAAAGGTGCAGTCAGCTAAGTATGAAGAAGTCACTTGGATGAGTGAGGAAATGTTTCTCGACTAGATGAACAAAGTTACATTTCTGGGTCAGTTAATAATTGTTTCCCCTCCCAGATATTCTACAATCAGCTCTTAATGGTATTATTGCAAAGTGCAGGTGTTTAGGAACCTCAGCGACTCATGTCAGACCATGTAAAGTCACAGAGGTGCTTAATATGTAACAGTTGCCAACACTCTGTCATCTCAACACTCGAAGGCTGACAGCACTTCAGAGTATTCCAAACCTCCTCTGACATTAACATCAGCACAAAAACTGTGTGCTGGGAGCTTCATGACATGGGTTTCCATCACTGTGCAGCTCTTGTAAGTTTAATATGTAGGTGGCCAAGTACTTTTATCTATATAGTGTGTCTAATTAAATTTGATTAACACTAGGACACCAGGTGTAGGAGTAACTTGTAATATAAGTATGATGATAAAATTGTAATATGCTCCCCATAATAACATGGTACAGCTATTCTGCTTCAATTAATAGAACACAAGATAAACATCTATTATTAAAAACAATAAATAATGTGTTTAAGTGAAGGAAAAGGTAGCTCTGAAAAGCAGGTGTTTAATATTTATCCAGTGTACTTTACCAGTTCATTAAACTAGCTCTCTCCCCTAACCCTGAGGTGAGTTTCTTTTTCTTCACTGTCATGGAGTCAAGGAGTAATAACTCTGATAAGCCAGGTTTGTTTAGAGTATACCTGTTTTTATACTTGCAATATTGCAAGTATTAGTAACTCTACTGCAAGAAACTACCCAATATATTCCATTATAAATATTTGGCCTACCAATACTTCACAACTGTTGGGCCAAAAACACTACGAGTGAAAGTTCTGCTACAGTGGCATAGTTTGAATGTAAGCCTTATGATTCAGCGGTGTAAACTATTTCAAGATAGCACAGTTAGTTCCTTATTTTGTAAGAGGGGTGTAAAAGAAGTATTTTCTTCCCCTGCAAGGGTTCAACAAAAAAATGACTTCCCATCTCGTCGTCTTCTCAATAAAACCTTAGGATGTTAGGAGGTTAAAGACGGCTTCAGCAGAACCTTTTGGAGGTATGGTCCAAAAACAGGAGAAATGAAGACTGATGTTTAGTATTCACCACACACCGCTTCAACACTACTACTTATAACTGCATCAACCAGCTACCAACATGTTTTCATGTGTTCAGTTCTTTCTTACCAGAATATGATGCTCTCTTTGTTTTAATGGCCCCATTTAGAACAGAACAGATGGCAAAGCAGGTTAGGCTACCTTGAAAAGTCAATAACATAAGAGTGCGCAGTGTCACCTGGTTACTGAGTCAGATCCACCCCTCGCTCAATACTTCTAGTTTCAAAACACCAGGATGGCAAAGGCCACAGCAAAATTGGTGCTTTGAGTGCAGTGAGCATGAACCAAACCAGAAAAGCTGTAGCCAGACGAGCAATGAGCTAAAACTTACAATCAAGCTCCGAAAGCTGGAATTTGATACTTATACATATGTTATATCTGGTTTAACCGCTGTTATGAGCAGCAGACCACAATGCAAAATTATACCACCCTTCACCTCTGCCGCATCTATGATTTTGTTAAGTTGAAACACCTGATTACAGACTATAATGCAAGCCTGATTCTGTTTTTATGGAGATATTAAGACATCACTCCTTATCCATTTAATAACATCCAAGTACAGCGTTCTGGTTGGTGGTGAAGGGCAGACTTTACGTGTGATAAGTTATCAGAAACACCACTTTCCATACAATCAGACCGGCAGTTCCTGTTGCCATGGGGACGAGCGATTGAGATTTTATTCCTCTGATTGTCTGAGTAGTGCACTTTGCACACAAGGCTGAGGGCTGATTTGGGGGTATTCATGTGTGCCGATATGCAGCAATTACCACCATCAGGACGGGGTTGTGCAGTTTGTGAGACTTCTCTGTTAAACCTGGAATTGCTGCTGCCCTTCATCATCGTTTCCGTGAAGAGACAATGCAGCCTTTATTCCTCCTCTGAGGCTCCTATTGTTCCTCTGGAGGGAATCTGTGCGGTCACTCCAGTCAGTCTTATGTTAAAAAACCAAAAAGAAAAGCTGTGTTGCTCTCTAGGTATCAACTGGAGAGGCCTGTGGAGCTCTGCGCATGATTTCAGTCTGATCTTGTTTCGAGAAGTGCACTCACTCTGCAGGGATGTGAAGCGTAACAGACACAAGAATTTAAATGTTGCTGCCAGGCGTGACGCTTCAGTCATGCCTTTTTTTGGTAGCGGAATAATTATTTCTTATTTGAGTCATTAGGTCTGAACAGGATTATCCATGTGTTAATGTCTTTGTTCACAGGAAGCTACCTCACTTCTGCCTCAGCAGAGACATGAACTGTTAAGATGCTTTTCAATTTATGCAACAAAAGAAAAAAACAAGTATTAAGAAACAATTAGGGCTAAAATTAAAGTTTATTTCTAAATATTTGATGTGATTTACATTATTTAAATACAAGAAAGTTTTAATCTATAAATTAAGCAGTATTAATATGTTCTGATTTTACTGCCTCTGTTGGAGATGGAGCTGCAGTGATATGTTGCCTTACTAATAAACAGAAATATAAGAAAAACTTTTGATTATGCAAAAAAGTCACTATTATCACGAGTCAAGCAAAAATCTATTTAGTGCATTTCCTCATCATAGATGACAGTAAATCTAAATGTTTCTGGATAGCTGGTTAGACTGTTTAAATGAAAGAATTAAGGTATTTTTTTACTATTACGTCATTACTGGAAATAATAATTGTCTTGAGTGGGGTGCAAGTTTAATTCTTGCCACAAAAATCATAAAGGTCTAAGATTTATCCAGATCATTTACTTAAAGGAATTAGTCCAGAATTTCCTAGGTGTAGAAAATCTTTTACCAGCTCTTTATCTTCTGTAGGATATTAAAGGTTGATGGGAATTTGCCTAACCAGTCTACATGCACATTGTGGACTTGGAGAGCGAATTCTCCTGGGGATCCTGTGGGGCTACTTTGGAAGGATGGGGTATCTGACCCATTGTTACAGCCCATTAGGTTGCTGTACAACCACAGTGAGAGTTTGGTCCATATTGGCAACAACAGTTCAGGATCATTCTTGTTTGTGTTGGACTCCTCCAGGGCTGCCCTTTGTCACTGATTCTGTTCATAATGTTTATAGACAAAGTTTCTAGGCCATGTAAGAGAGGGTCTCCCCTTTGGTGGTTGCAGGATCTCTTTTCTACTTTTTGCAGATGATGTGACTCTGTTGCCTTTATCAGTTGGCAACTTCCACCTCACACTGGTGTAGTTTGCTGCAACAGGAATAAGAATTAGCACTTCAGAGTCTGAAGCCATGAATTTTAGTAGGAAAAGGGTGGACCATCCACTCTGGGTCAAGAATAAGTTGCTACCCCAGGTGGGTCTTGTTCATGAGTGTCATTGTGCCATGTCTCAATCAATGTAGGCGATGGACCGCTTCGTTGTGGTGAAGTGAGAGCTTAGCGTGAAAAGAAAGTTCGATTTACCAGTCGATCTACGTTCCTACTCTCAACTACGGTCAAGAGCTCTGGGTCATGACTCAAAGAATGAAACTGTAGATACAAGTGCATACAAGTGGAACAGTTTCCTCCGAAAGCTGGCTAGGCTATCCTTTAGCGATAGGGTGAGGAGTTCATTCTGAAGGGACTCAAGAGTAGAGATGCTACTGTTCCACATCAAAAGGAGCCAGTTGAGGTGGGTTAGCACATCTGACTAGGATGCCTCTTGGATGCCTCCTACACAAGGTGTTCCAGCATGACCTCTCCAGGAAGAGGCTCCAGGGCAGACCTAGGGACACACTGCAATTCTGTCAAGTAAAAATGGCACCATTCTGCAGGCGGCATCAACAGTATCATTACTACATGATGGTTGTGTACTTCCACCAAAAAGTCAAGATGCAGTTTTCATCTGTCTCTGTTCAGAATTGACCTTTGACCTTTTGGATGTAAAATGTCACTTTGTTTTACACTCTCAGTCAGTCAGTGTGAAATTTCGTTGCTGTTACTTATATGAAAAATATATTTTGTAAGGTTAAAAAAACCTCTGACCACCAAATTTTCATCAGGTAAGTGCACATAGGGGTGGTCGCAAATAAAGATTCCTTTATGGCTTTCAAGACAAAAAATGGGAAAAGATGGATGGATACAGGTATGGATGGATGACAACCCCATTACATAATGACTATTGCCACAATTGTTACCAGTGCACATGAATACAACCGTAAAAGAAATGTAAAGCAACAGACTGCATTAAAAAAGGATAATTTTGTAATTTTCCCCAAGTCTCGCGTTTGTTCTCAGTTTCAGGATTTTTTACTATTCTCTACTAATAATGGCTCAATCTCCTACCGGCTGGCTCTACCTCACCGTCACCACATTGGGTAGGATGCTGCATTTCATGTAGCAGTTATGTAGATTTCGTCACTTGGAAGGCTCAGTGAGCCTCTACTCCAGAAAGAAATCCTCTTCATTAGCGTTAAAATAACAGAATAAGGTTTGGAGCCTGATGTTCCCACCTCCTAGTATATTTTAAATGCCTGATTTCAATGTGGACTAGACCCAACATCTTAAGAAAGACAAGAGCCACTGTCTCCTGTTTTATCATTTCCATTTACGTTTTGGGTGAAACGGATACGTCTGATGTCAGGGATAAAAATTCCTCTCGCTCATGTCCATCAGTAGATTCATCGTGGTGAAGACTGTCCAAACTGTCTTTTCCCAGAGGCTGTTCAGCAGCAGTCACTTGAACTCCACAATTTCATTTTTGCAGATATAAAGGTGTATTAAGGTGGAATGTCTTCTCCGCGCTCTCCTCTCTCATCGCGCCAGCTTCACTTCAAACACCTTTTCCATTTCTGCTATTAAATCAGAGCCAGAAGCAGCAGCACCTCCTCAAATGCAGGTTTGCTGCAGAAATCCAGCAAGTTTTCACAACCCAAGGAAAGAGGAAAAATCCAACCCGCGGTCAAAAATAGTGATGCTCTCTCTCTCTCTCTCTCTCTCTCTCATACAGCTTACTAAAAACACTCCACTGCTCAGTTTCAGTTGGAAATCAATGTGATTTCTCCAGTGTTTGCTGCCCTAATTCACATTTCCTGTTCTAGTTTTTAAGGCGCACTCAGCTGATGCTTTAATTATTGTTATTAATATTATTATTATTATTATTATTTAAATAAAACTGGTATTTAAAATATACACATTGTGCTGTATTGGAGCAGAGGTTCATCTGCATGATATACAACAGGTAGGTAGTAGATTTACACGATTAAAACAGCTCGTCCTACACGGAAACGGGCTGATTTGCGCTTTTCTGCCCGCAACCCCAAACTCCAGTTCAGAAAGTCTCTGCAAAACAGGTTTTGTGATTTTCCTAAACCTCCGAGGTGCACTTTAGATTAGTTACATAAACAGTAATTTAGTTACTTTTAGGAAAAGTGAATTAAGCTACTTCTAGTAAGGAAATAAAGAATGAATGGGGCTTAACGCGTCCAAGTTGGCTAAAATGCGGATGAAAGCTTCGTACCTGTCTGCAGGCTGATCCAGTGTCTCAGAGCAGGAGGCTCTCCGTCCTCAGCTGCCTCATCACACTGATATTGCTCCTGATGCTGCTGCTGATGATGATGATGGTGATGGTGATGATGATGATGACGATGATGATGCTGACTGTTGTGGGCGACAGGCGGAGGGGCACGCAAGGCTCTGTGGTAAAGTTACCACTCGCAGTCAAGTGTTCAGAGCCTGCGCATTGAAGCGGAGCTAGTGCTGCCTTCAAAGCCTGTCGGGAAAAGGCGGGCTATCGAGAGAATCTCGTTCAAGACTGTATGTCAAAAAGTACGTGGGCACCTCTGCTTTACATTTTATGTTTCTATTTTTTGGTTATTACATTCCTGAAAATAACTGAATAGCAATAAATAACTACTGTATCTAAGTAATAATAATAATAATAATGATAATAATAACTTTTAAAATACCCAAAATTAGTATTATTCCACAGAATGTGTAGCTTTTTGTTTTTGTTTTGTTTTTGGGTGGGGATGGGGGGGGGGTAATCAAAATTAGGGATGCCAAACATAAGGCCCACGGGCCAGAATCAGCCAGGGAAAGACTCCAATCCAAGCAACTGGAAAGCTTTTGGAAAATGTCAAAGAGATTGAACTTAACTGTATTATAGTTTAACAGCTTTTCCTATTGATGTAGATGTCCCCCATCGCCATGCATTGCCGTAGTAGTTAAATATTAGATAAAATAGCAGAAAGGGTTTTTACCCTTTTTTACTCTCTGCTATATTTATTATGTTTGAGACACCCAGGATATAAAATAAGTTTGGCATTCCTGATGTAGATGGTTTAATGTTTCTGAGACTTAAATAGTCACTGCAAATAGGTTCAGTGTCTAGATGAAAGATAGACACCAGTAAGTTCTTTTAAAAGAACATGGTTTTAAAATAAATTTGGAAACAACTTTATGATGTACATATTATTGATACACATGTCCACATACGTGTAGTTGATGTTTCTTAGATGACAAAGAAAAACGACTTGCAAGACACATTCGTTTCAAATTTCCTACAAGAGTCTGTTGGATATTTCCATTTGACAAACTATGTTTTAATTAGAGTTGATGAATATTTTGATGCTGTGAGACACATTTATGGCCAATGTGTGATTAGGGTCTAATTTTATACACATGCAGTTTCTCTGTGAAACACAGGACGCGAGAAACCTGCACCAGCAATAATTTTAACATCGTTTCCGGAAGAAAGAAGGAAGTGACGGGACGCTCTTGAAGGCAGCACATAACAATTCGGTGAGCGTAGACAACGAGTGAGTGCTTGATAGTTGGCACGCTATGGTGTAATTGTAAGGTATACTGATACGTTTTACATTTTCAAAGTTGGAGTGGAAGAAGCTTTTTTTTCTTGTTCTGTATATTTCATGATATTTAAATGAGGTTTGTGAAGGAATTTCAATTGCTGTAAAAAAGGCCATAACAAGGAAATCTGTAGTTAAGCTAACACAGAAGTTTCACACTGTGCACAGGGACTTATTCACACAGTAAACTGTGAATTATCTGTATATAACATGAAGCATATTCGTGATGATATGTTACCATAGTTATGAACTTTGTCTCCATCTAGTGTGCAAACATATTGACTACAGATTGAAAACTGTGCTTTTTATTAATTTCACTATAGACACACAAACACACACACAAACATAGTTTTGGATATAATAGCATTTATTGTCTATAACTTTGCAAACAAGTTAAGTTAAAGCCTATCAGAATACAAACATGAGCAGTTATCCAATAAAATTTCAAAGGTCATTAAAAGCTATTTATATAGCCGGTTCAATAGCCCCACTTTGTACAGAGATATGGAAAGAAAACAGAGTCCAGACAGATTTCTAGTGTGGCAAATTAGGTTCAAAGTAGCAAAGTATTAATAAAAAATATAGTTTTAGCAGTACATTTGCTCTGTTTGATCATACGCTTTTCATTTCAGCTTTGCATTGCTATTGTCTCTTTACATTTTAGCTACAGCGACAACAGTATCTTGGTGCAATACGTACATATTCTTTGTTCTATCTTAACTGCATTATGCTATTGTAGTTTGTATATACTGTAAGCGTTATAGTGAAATTACTGTAAACACAATTTGGAATGTCAGTAAAATAAATTGATTTTTGCATCAGTCTCAAACAGTCAGAAATTTTAGTTGACGGCACTGGTGATTATCATTTTGTAAAGTACACACACAAGTAAATTAGTCAATAGTGAAAAACTGCAAAATGAGTTTTAGAGATTTTGGTAAGCAAAAGTCAAACATTCTGCATCTTGAGCAAGGATATTTGCTAAGGCCTTGCTACAATTTGAAGTAAGGACACAGTTATACACATTGTTAGTATCTTCAACAGACTGTCAGCGTGAATTACAGGAATGCATATTTCTTTTGTAGGTCAGCATCATAGCACAGCACATCACCATCATGTTGTAATGCCTGAACACTGACAGATTGTTCTCTGTGATCGGTAAGTTAAACATGCTAACTTCCTTTCCCAGTTTCCAGCATGTTTTCATTCACTTGTCTCCTCTGACATTCAGGTCTAGGCAAAGAGAAATAGTATCTTTACACATGAATTATTTCCAGTTGCCTCACTTCTCAGCATCGTCAAAGAACCTCATTTTCTCAGAGTGCACAGAGTCTCTCAGTCGCTGTATAGATGACGCTGTCTCACCAGAGATGGGCTCAGAAGAGTCAAATACATGAGTAATTTGTTTGGTTATAACAATTGTCTCTCTGCTTTCACTTCTTTCAGTTGAGGTTTTCGTCACTAAGTGCCTCTCAAACACCGCTCTGTTGCCACTGTCTGAGCCTTCCACAGTCCATGATGTAGTTTCATTAGCTTCTGATTTTAAGGGAAGGCCTTCAGCTAATTCAGCTTCAATATCAGTTAGTAACTGGGCATGCTGTGCTTCTGGGGTTGCTTGTATATTTGTTGTAATGACGTGTAGTTTTCTCGATTCCAATCTGCACGTGTCTTCTGATGACGATGATATTCCAGAGGACAGAATAGTGATTTTCTCCGGTAAGTTAGGCTGAACTGAGATCAGTTCAGTCCTCGTGGCCGAAGTAAAGATGTTACTGTGTGTCTCTTCAAGCTCAGTAGCAACATTTGGATCAGAATATTTGACAGTTACCTTTGTTGGGGAAGATATGGATGGGCCAACATGCTCACTTGTGACTGCAGAACTTATATCAGCGAAGGCATCCGATGATTGGACAGAAAAGGTGGGGCTAATTTCCTCGTCCCCCATTCCCCCTACTGGACTCTTTTCATCCTTTTGTTCACATTTCTCAGGAGCACTGGGGGCTTCTGAAGGGGAAGACAGGCCAAACTTAGGAAATTTAAACCAACCTGTCCTCTCGGGACTCTTGGAAATATCTTGTATGGTACTTGTTCCTTTTTCCTTTGCTTCTAATTGCTTTCCAGCATGTTCGCCTATTTCTTGAACTTCTTTTGAGACTACAAGATTTTCTTCAACTTGGTCTGCTTTTGGAACATCAAATTCAACATCAATAGTCTTTAGGATCTCACCAAATGATGTCAGAATCATTTTTGGTGATTTACTTTCTCCTTTTGTTTCAACTTCCATTTCCAGTTGAGCTTCTTTATCTTCTATTTCAGCAGGAAGCTGTTCCTCTTCAGGTTTAGACTTTGAGAAGCTAAGCCTGGGCATTTTAAAAGATGGTAGTTTGAATTTACTTGGTGATGGAAGACCCACAACATCAGTCTCAGTCTTGGGTGTTTCGGATTCTGATATTATACCTTTGGAATAATCCATTTTAATATTAACAATCGAATCTTTGTCGGTGACAGAAATATCCTCCTTAGGTTTAGATCCATGAATGTCAATTACTTTTCCTGTTTTGGGTGCTTCCATGGTAACGTCAAAGGAAGCACTGCTAAATTTTGGCATTTTCAGTGGTGAAATTTTTTCTTTTAAAGGGGATCCTTCAGCATCTTTTGATTTTGCTTTTGTCTCAGAAGACTTGATTCCCAAACTAGATGACGATTGTTTGACTTCTTCTGAGATTTTGACCTCTGCTTTTATTTCTGGCCGTTTGCTGTCAACATTGTTTATTGATGATTTTAAATCCACTTCAGGTCCTTTTGGTTTTGTTTGTACAATGCCTAAATTTGGGAACTTAAATGGGCTTCCTTGCCCAGCTTCTTTCTCAGGAGCTTTAATTTCCATTTCAGGTTGTTTAACTTTTATTTCTCCCTCTGAAACAGAAACATCAGCTTGTGGAAGCTCATCACTTAACTCCGATTCTTTAATACTTGACTTTGAAAAAGAAAATCTCGGAAGTGAAAATTTAGGTTTTTTCAAGTTTGTTTCAGTTTCTTCAGCAGGTGGTTCTTCCATTGAAGGTCCTTTGATTTCAGCTTCTGCTAGACAGACTTCTGTTTTGCTTGATATACTCTCAGCTTTGGGTGTTTCAATTTTGACATCAATAGCTGGGGCCTTATCGGCTGTCCTTGAAAAGGAAAATTTTGGAAATGTCCAACTTGGTCGTTTTGACTTGACTTCGGCCTCATTTGTAGGTGTTTCCGGTAATGAAGTAGAACCCTCAGTTTCTTTGCCTTCAATATGTAGTAGTTTGATGTCAGCTGTTACCTCTGGTAAGGAAATATCAACATCTTTCTTTGATAAACTTAAATCTGTTTCAGGACTTTTAACTTTGGTCATTGAGATGGCCAGATTTGGCATTTTAAACTTGCTTCCAGATATCTCACCTCCTTTAGCTTTCACATCTACAGCTAAACCTTCAGAGTCAATGCCGGGTGCTGCATCAATTTTAATTCCTTTATTCACATCACTTACTTCCATACTGAACTCATTGTCAGGTTGTTTGACTATATCACCTTGCAGAAAAATAACATCAGTTTTTGGGAGACTGATATCGACTTCAGGGTCTTTTACACTTTGCTTGGAAAATGAAAATTTTGGCAATGAAAATCTTGGCTTTTTCAATTTAGCCTCAAGGTTTGTATCGGTTCCCCCCTCTATGATAATATGTGAGGATTCTTTAAGGTCGGTATCTGGAAGATGTACATCTGTTTTGACTTCTGGTAGTATGACATCAACTCCGGGAACATCAATGCTGATGTCTTCCTCAGGGGCCTTACCAGCTTTGTCAGCTTTGGCTTTTGGAACTGTAACATCTACATCTTTCTTCGATAAGCTTAAATCAATGTCAGGCCCTTTTGTTTGAGGGAAAGACAATCCAAGACTTGGCAGTTTGAACTTACTTCCTTTTACTTCATGTTCATATCCACTGGTTTTCAAGGAGATTGAAGGTTCTTTTAATTCAGTGCTGGGTACTGCAACGCCAACTTCAAGAACCTCTTCAGGAATCTCAATATCAGCACCATCTATTTTCATACCTTTGTCCATATCCGGTGCCTCTGCTGTTGAACTTGTGACACCAACTCCAAATTTTGGAATTTGGAATGTTGGCATCTTAAACTTTGATGGTGATCCTTTCTTTCCCTTTGTTTCAATCTTTATCTCAGGAGCTTCAATTCCAACTTCAACAGAAGGTTTTTCAATTTCAACATCAGGGAGCTTGACTTCAGCTTTGGCTTCTGGAAGTGTAACATCTACATCTTTCTTTGATAAACTTAAATCAATGTCAGGCCCTTTTGTTTGAGGGACAGACAATCCAAGACTTGGCAGTTTGAACTTACTTCCTTTTCCTTCATGTTCAGCTCCTGCAGTTTTCAGGGTGAGTGAAGGTTCTTTGAATTCAGTGCTGGGTGCTGCAATGTTGACTTCAAGAACCTCTTCAGGGATACTAATATCAGCACCATCTACTTTAACATCCGTGTCCAAATCAGATACTTTTGCTGTACCACTTGGGATACCAATGCCAAATCTGGGTAATTTGAATGTAGGCATCTTAAATTTTGATGGTGATCCTTTTTTATCTTTTGTCTCAACTTTGAACTCAGGAGCTTCAATTTCCACTTCAACAGAAGGTTTCTCTACTTCAACATCAGGGAGTTTGACTTCAGCTTTGGCTTCTGGAAGTGTAACATGCACATCTTTCTTCGATAAGCTTAAATCAATGTCAGGCCCTTTGGTTTTTGGGACAGACAATCCAAGACTTGGCAGTGTGAACTTACTTCCTTTTACTTCATGTTCATATCCACTGGTTTTCAAGGAGATTGAAGGTTCTTTTAATTCAGTGCTGGGTGCTGCAACGCCAACTTCAAGAACCTCTTCAGGAATCTTAATATCAGCACCATCTATTTTTATGCCTTTGTCCATATCTGGTACCTCTGCTGTTGCACTTGTGACACCCACTCCAAATTTTGGAATTTGGAATGTTGGCATCTTAAACTTTGATGGTGATCCTTTCTTTCCCTTTGTTTCTGTCTTTATCTCAGGAGCTTCAATTTCCACTTCAACACAAGGTTTTTCAATTTCAACATCACGGAGTTTGACTTCAGCTTTGGCTTCTGGAAGTGTAACATCAACATCTTTCTTCGATAAACTTAAATCGATATCTGGTCCTTTGGCTTGAGGGACAGACAATCCAAGACTTGGCAGTTTGAACTTACTTCCTTTTCCTTCATGTTCAGCTCCTGCAGTTTTCAGGGTGAGTGAAGGTTCTTTGAATTCAGTGCTGGGTGCTGCTATGTTGACTTCAAGAACCTCTTCAGGGATACTAATATCACCACCATCTACTTTAACATCTGTGTCCAAATCAGGTACTTTTGCTGTACCACTTGGGATACCAATGCCAAATCTGGGTAATTTGAATGTAGGCATCTTAAATTTTGATGGTGATCCTTTTTTATCTTTTGTCTCAACTTTGAACTCAGGAGCTTCAATTTCAACAGAAGGTTTCTCTACTTCAACATCAGGGAGTTTGATTTCAGCTTTAGCTTCTGGAAGTGCAGCATCTACATCTTTCTTCGTTAAGCTTAAATCAATGTCAGGCCCTTTGGTTTTTGGGACAGACAATCCAAGACTTGGCAGTTTGAACTTACTTCCTTTTCCTTCATGTTCAGATCCACTGGTTTTCAAGGAGATTGAAGGTTCTTTTAATTCAGTGCTGGGTGCTGCAACGCCAACTTCAAGAACCTCTTCAGGAATCTCAATATCAGCACCATCTATTTTTATGCCTTTGTCCATATCCGGTACCTCTGCTGTTGCACTTGTGACACCCACTCCAAATTTTGGAATTTGGAATGTTGGCATCTTAAACTTTGATGGTGATCCTTTCTTTCCCTTTGTTTCAATCTTTATCTCAGGAGCTTCAATTTCCACTTCAACACAAGGTTTTTCAATTTCAACATCACGGAGTTTGACTTCAGCTTTGGCTTCTGGAAGTGTAACATCAACATCTTTCTTTGATAAACTTAAATTGATATCTGGTCCTTTGGCTTGAGGGACAGACAATCCAAGACTTGGCAGTTTGAACTTACTTCCTTTTCCTTCATGTTCAGCTCCTGTAGTTTTCAGGGTGAGTGAAGGTTCTTTGAATTCAGTGCTGGGTGCTGCTATGTTAACTTTAAGAACCTCTTCAGGGATACTCATATCACCACCATCTACTTTAACATCCGTGTCCAAATCAGGTACTTTTGCTGTGGCACTTGGGATACCAATGCCAAATCTGGGTAATCTGAATGTAGGCATCTTAAACTTTGATGGTGATCCTTTTTTGTCTTTTGTCTCAACTTTGAACTCAGGAGCTTCAATTTCCACTTCAACAGAAGGTTTCTCTACTTCAACATCAGGGAGTTTGATTTCAGCTTTAGCTTCTGGAAGTGCAGCATCTACATCTTTCTTTGATAAGCTTAAATCAATGTCAGGCCCTTTGGTTTTTGGGACAGACAATCCAAGACTTGGCAGTTTGAACTTACTTCCTTTTCCTTCATGTTCAGATCCACTGGTTTTCAAAGAGATTGAAGGTTCTTTTAATTCAGTGCTGGGTGCTGCAATGTTAACTTCAAGAACCTCTTCAGGAATCTCAATATCAGCACCATCTATTTTATGCCTTTGTCCATATCCGGTACCTCTGCTGTTGCACTTGTGACACCCACTCCAAATTTTGGCAATTGGAATGTTGGCATCTTAAACTTTGATGGTGATCCTTTCTTTCCCTTTGTTTCAATCTTTATCTCAGGAGCTTCAATTTCCACTTCAACAGAAGGTTTTTCAACTTCAACATCAGGGAGCTTGACTTCAGCTTTGGCTTCTGGAAGTGTAATATTTACATCTTTCTTTGATAAACTTAAATTGATATCTGGTCCTTTGGCTTGAGGGACAGACAATCCAAGACTTGGCAGTTTGAACTTACTTCCTTTTACTTCATGTTCATATCCACTGGTTTTCAAGGAGATTGAAGGTTCTTTTAATTCAGTGCTGGGTGCTGCAATGTTAACTTCAAGAACCTCTTCAGGAATCTCAATATCAGCACCATCTATTTTTATGCCTTTGTCCATATCCGGTACCTCTGCTGTTGAACTTGTGACACCCACTCCAAATTTTGGCAATTGGAATGTTGGCATCTTAAACTTTGATGGTGATCCTTTCTTTCCCTTTGTTTCAATCTTTATCTCAGGAGCTTCAATTTCCACTTCAACAGAAGGTTTTTCAACTTCAACATCAGGGAGCTTGACTTCAGCTTTGGCTTCTGGAAGTGTAATATTTACATCTTTCTTTGATAAACTTAAATTGATATCTGGTCCTTTGGCTTGAGGGACAGACAATCCAAGACTTGGCAGTTTGAACTTACTTCCTTTTCCTTCATGTTCATATCCACTGGTTTTCAAGGAGATTGAAGGTTCTTTTAATTCAGTGCTGGGTGCTGCAACGCCAACTTCAAGAACCTCTTCAGGAATCTTAATATCAGCACCATCTATTTTTATGCCTTTGTCCATATCCGGTACCTCTGCTGTTGCACTTGTGACACCCACTCCAAATTTTGGAATTTGGAATGTTGGCATCTTAAACTTTGATGGTGATCCTTTCTTTCCCTTTGTTTCTGTCTTTATCTCAGGAGCTTCAATTTCCACTTCAACACAAGGTTTTTCAATTTCAACATCACGGAGTTTGACTTCAGCTTTGGCTTCTGGAAGTGTAACATCAACATCTTTCTTCGATAAACTTAAATCGATATCTGGTCCTTTGGCTTGAGGGACAGACAATCCAAGACTTGGCAGTTTGAACTTACTTCCTTTTCCTTCATGTTCAGCTCCTGCAGTTTTCAGGGTGAGTGAAGGTTCTTTGAATTCAGTGCTGGGTGCTGCTATGTTAACTTCAAGAACCTCTTCAGGGATACTAATATCAGCACCATCTACTTTAACATCCGTGTCCAAATCAGATACTTTTGCTGTACCACTTGGGATACCAATGCCAAATCTGGGTAATTTGAATGTAGGCATCTTAAATTTTGATGGTGATCCTTTTTTATCTTTTGTCTCAACTTTGAACTCAGGAGCTTCAATTTCAACAGAAGGTTTCTCTACTTCAACATCAGGGAGTTTGATTTCAGCTTTAGCTTCTGGAAGTGCAGCATCTACATCTTTCTTCGTTAAGCTTAAATCAATGTCAGGCCCTTTGGTTTTTGCGACAGACAATCCAAGACTTGGCAGTTTGAACTTACTTCCTTTCCTTCATGTTCAGATCCACTGGTTTTCAAGGAGATTGAAGGTTCTTTTAATTCAGTGCTGGGTGCTGCAATGTTAACTTCAAGAACCTCTTCAGGAATCTCAATATCAGCACCATCTATTTTTATGCCTTTGTCCATATCCGGTACCTCTGCTGTTGCACTTGTGACACCCACTCCAAATTTTGGCAATTGGAATGTTGGCATCTTAAACTTTGATGGTGATCCTTTCTTTCCCTTTGTTTCAATCTTTATCTCAGGAGCTTCAATTTCCACTTCAACAGAAGGTTTTTCAACTTCAACATCAGGGAGCTTGACTTCAGCTTTGGCTTCTGGAAGTGTAATATCTACATCTTTCTCTGATAAACTTAAATTGATATCTGGTCCTTTGGCTTGAGGGACAGACAATCCAAGACTTGGCAGTTTGAACTTACTTCCTTTTCCTTCATGTTCATATCCACTGGTTTTCAAGGAGATTGAAGGTTCTTTTAATTCAGTGCTGGGTGCTGCAACGCCAACTTCAAGAACCTCTTCAGGAATCTTAATATCAGCACCATCTATTTTTATGCCTTTGTCCATATCCGGTACCTCTGCTGTTGCACTTGTGACACCCACTCCAAATTTTGGAATTTGGAATGTTGGCATCTTAAACTTTGATGGTGATCCTTTCTTTCCCTTTGTTTCTGTCTTTATCTCAGGAGCTTCAATTTCCACTTCAACACAAGGTTTTTCAATTTCAACATCACGGAGTTTGACTTCAGCTTTGGCTTCTGGAAGTGTAACATCAACATCTTTCTTCGATAAACTTAAATCGATATCTGGTCCTTTGGCTTGAGGGACAGACAATCCAAGACTTGGCAGTTTGAACTTACTTCCTTTTCCTTCATGTTCAGCTCCTGCAGTTTTCAGGGTGAGTGAAGGTTCTTTGAATTCAGTGCTGGGTGCTGCTATGTTAACTTCAAGAACCTCTTCAGGGATACTAATATCACCACCATCTACTTTAACATCCGTGTCCAAATCAGGTACTTTTGCTGTTGCACTTGTGACACCCACTCCAAATTTTGGCAATTTGAATGTAGGCATCTTAAATTTTGATGGTGATCCTTTTTATCTTTTGTCTCAACTTTGAACTCAGGAGCTTCAATTTCAACAGAAGGTTTCTCTACTTCAACATCAGGGAGTTTGACTTCAGCTTTAGCTTCTGGAAGTGCAGCATCTACATCTTTCTTCGTTAAGCTTAAATCAATGTCAGGCCCTTTGGTTTTTGGGACAGACAATCCAAGACTTGGCAGTTTGAACTTACTTCCTTTTCCTTCATGTTCAGATCCACTGGTTTTCAAGGAGATTGAAGGTTCTTTTAATTCAGTGCTGGGTGCTGCAACGCCAACTTCAAGAACCTCTTCAGGAATCTTAATATCAGCACCATCTATTTTTATGCCTTTGTCCATATCCGGTACCTCTGCTGTTGCACTTGTGACACCCACTCCAAATTTTGGCAATTGGAATGTTGGCATCTTAAACTTTGATGGTGATCCTTTCTTTCCCTTTGTTTCAATCTTTATCTCAGGAGCTTCAATTTCCACTTCAACAGAAGGTTTTTCAATTTCAACATCACGGAGTTTGACTTCAGCTTTGGCTTCTGGAAGTGTAACATCAACATCTTTCTTTGATAAACTTAAATTGATATCTGGTCCTTTGGCTTGAGGGACAGACAATCCAAGACTTGGCAGTTTGAACTTACTTCCTTTTCCTTCATGTTCAGCTCCTGTAGTTTTCAGGGTGAGTGAAGGTTCTTTGAATTCAGTGCTGGGTGCTGCTATGTTAACTTTAAGAACCTCTTCAGGGATACTCATATCACCACCATCTACTTTAACATCCGTGTCCAAATCAGGTACTTTTGCTGTGGCACTTGGGATACCAATGCCAAATCTGGGTAATTTGAATGTAGGCATCTTAAACTTTGATGGTGATCCTTTTTTGTCTTTTGTCTCAACTTTGAACTCAGGAGCTTCAATTTCCACTTCAACAGAAGGTTTCTCTACTTCAACATCAGGGAGTTTGATTTCAGCTTTAGCTTCTGGAAGTGCAGCATCTACATCTTTCTTTGATAAGCTTAAATCAATGTCAGGCCCTTTGGTTTTTGTGACAGACAATCCAAGACTTGGCAGTTTGAACTTACTTCCTTTTCCTTCATGTTCAGATCCACTGGTTTTCAAGGAGATTGAAGGTTCTTTTAATTCAGTGCTGGGTGCTGCAATGTTAACTTCAAGAACCTCTTCAGGAATCTCAATATCAGCACCATCTATTTTTATGCCTTTGTCCATATCCGGTACCTCTGCTGTTGCACTTGTGACACCCACTCCAAATTTTGGCAATTGGAATGTTGGCATCTTAAACTTTGATGGTGATCCTTTCTTTCCCTTTGTTTCAATCTTTATCTCAGGAGCTTCAATTTCCACTTCAACAGAAGGTTTTTCAACTTCAACATCAGGGAGCTTGACTTCAGCTTTGGCTTCTGGAAGTGTAATATCTACATCTTTCTCTGATAAACTTAAATTGATATCTGGTCCTTTGGCTTGAGGGACAGACAATCCAAGACTTGGCAGTTTGAACTTACTTCCTTTTCCTTCATGTTCAGCTCCTGTAGTTTTCAGGGTGAGTGAAGGTTCTTTGAATTCAGTGCTGGGTGCTGCTATGTTAACTTCAAGAACCTCTTTAGGTATACTAATATCAGCTCCTTCTACTTTAACATCTGTGTCCAAATCAGGTACTTTTGCTGTACCACTTGGGATACCAATGCCAAATCTGGGTAATTTGAATGTAGGCATCTTAAATTTTGATGGTGATCCTTTTTTATCTTTTGTCTCAACTTTGAACTCAGGAGCTTCAATTTCCACTTCAACAGAAGGTTTCTCTACTTCAACATCAGGGAGTTTGACTTCAGCTTTGGCTTCTGGAAGTGTAACATGCACGTCTTTCTTCGATAAGCTTAAATCAATGTCAGGCCCTTTGGTTTTTGGGACAGACAATCCAAGACTTGGCAGTGTGAACTTACTTCCTTTTACTTCATGTTCATATCCACTGGTTTTCAAGGAGATTGAAGGTTCTTTTAATTCAGTGCTGGGTGCTGCAACGCCAACTTCAAGAACCTCTTCAGGAATCTTAATATCAGCACCATCTATTTTTATGCCTTTGTCCATATCCGGTACCTCTGCTGTTGCACTTGTGACACCCACTCCAAATTTTGGAAATTGGAATGTTGGCATCTTAAACTTTGATGGTGATCCTTTCTTTCCCTTTGTTTCAATCTTTATCTCAGGAGCTTCAATTTCCACTTCAACAGAAGGTTTCTCTACTTCAACATCAGGGAGTTTGACTTCAGCTTTATCTTCTTGAAGTGTAACTTTTACGTCTTTCTTCGATAAGCTTAAATCAATGTCAGACCCTTTTGTTTTTGGGACAGACAATCCGAGACTTGGCAGTTTGAACTTACTTCCTTTTACTTCATGTTCAGCTCCTGCAGTTTTCAGGGTGAGTGAAGGTTCTTTGAATTCAGTGCTGGGTGCTGCTATGTTAACTTCAAGAACCTCTTCAGGAATCTCAATATCAGCACCATCTATTTTTATGCCTTTCTCCATATCCGGTACCTCTGCTGTTGTACTTGTGATACCCACTCCAAATTTTGGCAATTGGAATGTTGGCATCTTAAACTTTGATGGTGATCCTTTCTTTCCCTTTGTTTCAATCTTTATCTCAGGAGCTTCAATTTCCACTTCAACAGAAGATTTTTCAATTTCAACATCACGGAGTTTGACTTCAGCGTTGGCTTCTGGAAGTGTAACTTCTACGTCTTTCTCTGATAAACTTAAATCAATGTCAGGTCCCTTGGCTTGAGGGACAGACAATCCAAGACTTGGCAGTTTGAACTTACTTCCTTTGCCTTCATGTTCAGCTCCTGCAGTTTTCAGGGTGAGTGAAGGTTCTTTGAATTCAGTGCTGGGTGCTGCAATGTTGACTTCAAGAACCTCCTCAGGGATACTAATATCACCACCATCTACTTTAACATCTGTGTCCAAATCAGGTACTTTTGCTGTGGCACTTGGGATACCAATGCCAAATTTGGGTAATTTGAATGTAGGCATCTTAAATTTTGATGGTGATCCTTTTTTATCTTTTGTCTCAACTTTGAACTCAGGAGCTTCAGTTTCCACTTCAACAGAAGGTTTCTCTACTTCAAAATCAGGGAGTTTGGCTTCAGCTTTGGCTTCTGGATATGTAACATCTACGTCTTTCTTCGATAAGCTTAAATCAATGTCAGGTACTTTGGTTTCAGGGACAGACAATCCAAGACTTGGCAGTTTGAACTTACTTCCTTTGCCTTCACGTTCAGCTCCTGTAGTTTTCAGGGTGAGTGAAGGTTCTTTGAATTCAGTGCTGGGTGCTGCTATGTTAACTTCAAGAACCTCTTCAGGGATACTAATATCACCACCATCTATTTTTATGCCTTTGTCCATATCCGGTACCTCTGCTGTTGCACTTGTGTCACGGGCACCAAATTTGGGTAATTTGAATGTTGGCATCTTAAACTTTGATGGTGATCCTTTTTTGTCTTTTGTCTCAACTTTGAACTCAGGAGCTTCAGTTTCCACTTCCATATCAGGGAGTGTGACTTTAGCTTTAGCTTCTGGAAGTGTAACATCTACATCTTTCTTTGATAAGCTTAAATCAGTGTCAGGCCCTTTTCTTTTTGGGACAGACAATCCAAGACTTGGCAGCTTGAACTTACTTCCTTTTCCATCATATTCAGATTCACTGGTTTCCAAGGAGATTGGAAGTTCTTTCAATTCAGTGCTGGGTGCTGCAATGTTAACTTCAAGAACCTCTTCAGGAATCTCAATATCAGCACCTTCTATTTTGATACCTTTCTCCATATCCGGTACCTCTGCTGTTGCACTTGTGATACCAATGCCAAATTTGGGTAATTGGAATGGAGGCATCTTAAACTTTGATGGTGATCCTTTCTTGTCTTTTGTCTCAACTTTGAACTCAGGAGCTTCAATTTCAGTTTCAACAGAAGGTTTCTCTACTTCAACATCATGGAGCTTGACTTCAGCTGTAGCTTCTGGAAGTGTAATATGTACGTCTTGCTTTGATGAGCTTAAATCAATGTCAGGCGCTTTGTCTTGATGGACAGAAAATCCAAGACTTGGCAGTTTGAACTTACTTCCTTTTACTTCATGTTCATATCCACTGGTTTTCAAGGAGATTGAAGGCTCTTTCAATTCAGTGCTGGGTGCTGCTATGTTAACTTCAAGAACCTCTTCGGGGATACTAATATCAGCACCATCTATTTTGATACATTTGTCCATATCCGGTACTTTTGCTGTTGCACTTGTGATACCAATGCCAAGTTTTGGTAAGTGGAATGTTGGCATCTTAACCTTTGATAGTGATTCTTTTTTTTCCTTAGTCTCAATTTTCATTTCAACCTCAGCAGAATTTTTTTCAACTTCAACATCAGGGAGTTTGACTTCAGCTTCTGGAAGAGTAATATCTATGCTTTTCTTTGAAGAATTTAAATCAAAGTCCGGTCCTTTTGTTTGAGGGACAGAAAATCCAAGACTTGGCAATTTGAACTTACTTCCTTTGCCTTCATGTTCTTTTAATTCAATGCTGGGTGCTGCTATGTTCACTTCAAGAACCTGTTCAGGGATACTAATATCAGCACCTTCTATTTTGATACCTGTGTCCAAATCAGGTATTTCTGTTGTGGCACTTGGGATACCAACTCCAAATTTTGGTAGTTTGAATGTGGGCATCTTAAATTTTGAAAGTGAGTTCTCATTGTCCTTTGTCAGATCTTCAATATCAGGATCTTCGGTTTCCATTTGAGCAGAGGGTTTTTTACGTTCAGCATCAGTTTTGGCTTCTTCAAGTGTTTCATCTACATCTCTCTTCAATAAGTTAAAATCAACTTCTGGTCCTTTTACTTTTGGCATTGTTATTCCAAATTTTGGCAATTTGAACTTGCTTTCATGTACTTCGGTTTCATCTCCAGTCTTTTCCTGGGGAAAGAAAGCTTCTGCACTCCCAAGACTTACATCGATTTTAGTTTTAATTCCAGTCTGTGGTTTGACATCAACTGTTTTCACATCAATAGATGATCCCACAATATCAGTATTTGGTGTTGGAATGTTAACATTGACACCTTCAGTTGATTTCAGCTGTGTTTCACAAATTTCAATGTCTTTTAATTTATCATGTACTTCATGACTGGTGTTGGCCACAGGAGATCCAAATTTAGGTAGCTTGAATGTTGGCATCTTAAATTTTGATGGTGATTCGTCTACATACTTTTCTACAACTTTCATTTCAGGAGCTCTAATTTCGGCATCAGAGGGTTTCACCTTCCGTTTTGTTTCTGACAGTTTCATATCTTCATTTTTCTCTGATGCACTGAAGTCAAATTCAGACCCTTTTATTTTCGGCATTGCAATTCCTAACTTTGGCATCTTGAACTTGCCTCCTTGCCTATCAAAATCACCTTCTGCCCGAGGATGTTTTATTTCCTGGTCATATTTTTCTGCCTCCATTATTCGTTCTGCAATACAAACATCTACACTTCCAAGTGTAACGTCGGTCTCAGGCGGTGGTGTCACAGCTACACCTTTCTTTGATAGACTTGAATCCGTTTTTATTCCTTTCGCCCTTGGCATGGAGATACCAACATTTGGCACTTTAAACTTGCTACCCTTTCCCTCTCTTTCAAGAGTTTTTGTCTCAGCTTCATCAGTGTTTATAGGCTTATCTCCATCGGGCACATTTACACTGATGTATGTAGTAATAGCTCCAAATTGAGGCAATTTAACTGCATGCTCTTCAGTTTCTGCACTTTTTGCCAGGGAAATATCCACGTTTGTTTTTGACTCAAGATTTACATCAAAACCTGTAAGCCTAATGCCATTGTCCTTTTTGGCTGGTGAACCATCTACTGAGTCAATGTATTCAATGCTATCGAGTTCAGGAATCACAACCTCACATACAACTCCTTCACTCTGCCCCTTTTCTTTTTTAATTTCATCTTTTGATGTCGTTACTTCTCGGAGGAATTCAGCTTTTCTCCTTTTGTTGTGTCCCCTTTTTGCTGAAAGATATTTTGTTTTGGCAAGACAATTCCAATATTAGGGATTCTTATGTCTGGCTTTGCTATCCCAAAGCTAGGCACTGTCATCTTTGCCTTCTTTGATTTCTTATCTGATTCATATCAGAGTTGATACCCTCTGTTCCTCTGTTTCATCAGCCACATGTGCCTGAAGACTAGATACTTTCTCTAAACTTTCCTTTCCTGGTATTATAATATCTTCTCTTTTATAGGTCCCAGTTTTAATCTCTTTGCTGCTTTGTTTTTTCTTAGTTTCATATTCCTTATAAGTTTTTACTGTTGTTTCAGTTAAAAGATCCTCTGAGGTTAATTGCCCGGTTGTGATCTGTGACAGCTTAACTGTAGTCTTGGAAATTTCTAGAGAAGAAGTTGTGTCAAACTTTGTAAGACTTGCTCCATGCTTTGTTTTGGTGTCTACCACTTTTGTAGGCGTTTTCACTGATATTCTTTGAGCATTTGCATCTATCACAGTAATTTCTTCTGGAATAGGCATGCCAGATGTATCAACTTTAGGCAGCTTATATCCAGGCAATTTAGAAACTGCCTCTTTCACACTGTCAACATCAATTGACAGTTGCACAGTTTCCGCTTGAAATTCTCCATTCTGTCCTGTATAATTTACCTTAGGTTCTTTAATTCTTTTTGCGCTCGTCTTCACAGACTTATCCTCCATACCTGGTATCTCAATCTCTTCCCGTTTGGGAAGTTGGGTTCTGAAATCACTGCTTTTTGCCAGTCTCTTATAAGGATCATCTGTGATTTCCTCAGCACCAACGTCACCCCAACTGAGTTTCGTCAGTTTGACAGTTTCCCCTGTTCTTCTGTCTTCGTGTTTTTCTTGGATTTCTTTGCCTTTCTGCCTTTTTGCTTCACTTTTCTGTGGATTTTTTTGTGAAACTGCAACATCAGATAAATCATGTTCCACCTTAGCATAAAGAGCAGGATCTTCTGTGTGTGACTCAAAGTTTGGGATTAAGTCAGATTTTTCATTTTCAGGATGATCAGCTAAGTCAAAACTTGCCCCTAGTGTTTTTAGCCTTTTTGGTGACGATTTTGCTTTTGCTTCTTTCTTGTGTGATTTATCCTTCCCCAGAATTTTCATTTTTAATTCAGACCTTTCTTTCTTCTTTTTTTTCCCCTCAGGGGACTTGATAAGAGAGGGGCTTTCTTGATCTGCTAGAGCCACAGTTAAATCTGCTGTTTTCAAAGTGCTATCTATACTGATAAGTTCCACCTTATGTTGAATAGGTTGAGCTTCACGGACCGTTAGATTGGTTTCTTCAAGTTGCACATCTTTCATTACTTTCAGATCTTTTTTCACATAGGCTTCAGGCATTTCTCCTGAGGGGCTTTCAAGGCACTCAGGTGAAAGCATATCAGATTCTTGTGTGTGGTGAGTGTCACCACTGATCTGTCCAGTTTGCACATCTGTGTCCTGCTCCTCAGATGAACTTATCCGGCCTCTCTTTGTCAGACCAGGTAGTTTTATTTTATGCTTTTTCTTGTATTTGAGAGCATCCTGAGTTTTTATTGGTGACTCTGTGTCGCTTGTTGTTGGGCTGAGTTCAAGCTTTCTTTGTTCCTCAGCCTCTGAGGAACTGTGAGACCTTGTAAAACGTGATTTTCGCCCTTTTCCAAAGGATGAAAACTTGGGCCACGAAATGCGAGCTTCTCCGCGTCTTTTAGTTTTTCCTTGTTCTCTCATCTGTGGAGTGTGGAGGTCTTCTTCCTGTTAAGAAGCATAAAAATTAAAGGTAAGTCGTTACTAACAAATAAAAATAACTAACAAAGAGTTTGAGCAGACAACTTTGAGAATAGTTACAGGTATAACGTCAGATTCGATGGCTGGTTCGGTCTCTGTGATCTCTGGCTTGCGCTTCAAGCAAAGCTTCAGTTTATATGCCTGAGCATGCTCCAGAATCTGAATGGCATCCTCATATGACATGTTGTCAAAATACACAGTGGCACTCAAAATCTGATCACCTGTGTAGACAAGACAAAATATTTCAAAAGGACTTTGATGAGCAGACTTTTAAGTCCCATTTTTAGTTGATAAAAATTGAAGTGTTCAATAAAAAAATCAAATAAAGAATAACATTAACATTTGCTTGTGTTCAACGTACAGTGCTAAAAAAATTATAGTAACACTTTGAAAACACATAAGATCTCAATGGGAGGAAAAAAATCATGCTGGATATCGACGCTGATAAGAACTGGGTAATGTGTTAGGAATGAATGGCCTCATCATTTGATTGAAATAAAAATTATCAACTTACAGGGGGCTGAATTCAAAAAGCAGACTAGTCCATTTTGCCAAAATTTCATTGCAGCAGCTCAAAATGACAGCCAGTTGTAGTTGGGTGTCATTTTGTGCTTGAATTCATGCATGACAAATTCAGGCAATGCTTCCAGTGAGACAACAGATGGTGTCCTGGGGATCTCCTTCCAAATCTGGACCAAGGCATTACCAGGTTCCTACAACGGGGTAGCATTGTATGGACCGAAACATAACATCCCAGAGGTGTTCTGTTGAATTTAGGTCAGATGAGTGTAGGAACCAGTCAATGGTATCAATTCATTCATCCTCCAGGTACCATTGCCTACAAGGAGGAACCCAGGATCTCGGTTGCCTCAACCTGTAAAACATTCCTGTTTTGTCGCACCATTGCCCTTCTAGTGTACCTGTTGTTGATTTCATTAGCACCAAAGCAGCTGAAACTGATTAGCAAGCCCCTCTGCTACATATCTGACCACGTCAGTATCCCAGCAGTTTGACTGACTTGATGTTTTACTCTTATTAAAAGTGTTCCTTTAATTTTTTGAGCAGTGTAATTGTCAATTGAATATTGCAAATGAAAAAATTCTACAATGGCATAACATAAAATCAAGTAGAATACAGAATGTAATAATACATAGTAATGTAATGTAATAATATAGAGACTTTAAACCTATAATAATTTTAATGAGACAAATTTTTAGCCGCAGGTTTACCTTCTTTCAGTTTTAGATTTTTGGAGGCTGGTGACTCTGGCACTACTTCCTTAATGAAAATCCCTTCTTTTCCCCCTCCACCATAAATGAGACCCTCTGCACATCCATCTTTGGCCGTTTTCACTATCACCTCAGATTCAGGGCTCTCAGCTTCCTGCCAGTGCAAAAAAAGGACAGTCATTTTACCTTTAGCACTGATTTTTTTTTTCTGCAGTTGCATAGCTTGAAAGGATTTACAAATGCAGTACACAGAGGAAAAGCTAGAAATGTCTCACCTTGAGTTTACTCATCTTTGGAGTAGAGCGCTTTTCAAACATGGACCCAAGCCCAGACTTTTTAGTTTTCTTTCCAGTCCCACCTTTGTGGCGTGGGTCATGCTCTGCTTCACACTAAAAGGAGTTTAAGAGGAGCAAAGGGGTTTAAAAAGTAATCTTATAATACTCAGATCAGGAGGGTACATTCATTTATACAGGGGAGTAGCCAAGTTATTGCAATATTATACAATGCAGAGCTCATCTTGGACCACACATTAGCACACAAATCTGTAAAGAGAAATAAGTAATAGAAAGTAAGTAATAGAACAACTAATAAAAACACAATGTTATCTTTCACAGTTTCTACATTTTCATGTGGATGCTGTCCAGAAACAGTCTTCTTCAGTTTCACCTTTTTTTTTTGTCATTTCAGGACATGCAGCCGTGTGAGTATAACTGAGTCGAATACACAAACTTCTTTCTTTCAGTCACAAGTTTGTTTTTCTAACTTCATTTATTTTTTGGCCTGAAAAATAGACCGTTGACTTACACGCAGACTATTCAATAACTGTGAGTTTACATGCAGTGAAGTAGCAGCGTTATAATTTCCCAGCTGAGGTGAAGAATTAAAAGAAAGCCAGTTATTTCTGCCAGAGAAGCCTGATTTTTTTGGACATGGTTGTATTGTAAACAATGTTCTGTTCTATTGTCTTAACTGGATTTTCAAGACTAAACAAGCTAAAAGTTTGGGGGGGGGGGGGGGGGGGGCTGAGCTTGGTTCATGCCAAGTGCTTACTCATATGGGATCGAGTGATGTGTAGGACCTTAAAACATGAAGCGCACACGTAACTTAAAATATGTGTGGTGTTTCTCTGTACCTCTTTATCACTGTCACTGTATTTTTCAGTCTCAGGATACTCCTCAACTGGAGATGACCCTTGTGGGCGTGGTCTCTCACTCTCTGCGAACTGAGATGGCTCATCACACATCTGCATGGACATAAGGTCAGTAAACATGAAAACAAACCTGTTTTCATCATCACCCCTAAGAAATTTCATATCATTTCATTTGGATATTATCAAGCCTAGAAAGCATCTATTTTCTTGAGCTGCATATAAAATGTTTTCTTATTAAAACTCATGCAGCTGCACCTGCAGCATAAACAACAACAAAAAAAGATATGGAGGAAAATTGGATCCAGATAGTGCGATAGCACCTTGTTTAGCCAAAAGCATCACTGACTGGGTGTTTAGCTATTTGGCATTTAAAAACTGTCACATTATTGGTGTGTTTCCTGAGATGGCAGCGTTGGCTAGTCTGTCAGGCCAACACTTTGAGCAAAATACTGTGTGCATGTGTACTTTGTGTGTGTGTGTGTGTGTGTGTGTGTGTGTGTGTGTGTGTGTGTGTGTGTGTGTGTGTGTGTGTGTGTGTGTGTGTGTGAGAATGAAGTGTAGATTCTCATTTTCATCATCCATCATCCAAACCAGAATTAACCAAAAGTTGTTGTTTTTCAGCTGCTAGCCCATGATCGGTGACAGCCTTGTTTATATTAGACTGATGTGATCATTTTTCAGTGCAGCACAAATATTAGTCAGCCAATCTGTATAAATACTATACACTGATTTGTACAAATTTCTTCTCTGATAAAAAGTGTAAGTTGTAATGGGTTGTTGTTATTTGCCTATCTGTGCAAAGTCTCCATTAGCACTAAGTCTTCTCTCTATTTGCTTTGCTGTAAAGTTAAAATAACTGTTGTTCAGTATTTATTAGCTCAGACTCCAACATCAACATCATAATCTATCAATCAAACATGGTGGATCCAGTTTTAAGGCACAGGAATATGTGACCGCCTTCAAACAGAAACTGAACTGTTGATCACTTTGGTGATCTAGACGCGTTACTTCATACAGTCTGTTGTCACTGTATAATACAAAATCCTAAAAACATATGACAACGTTGAGAACGTACAGTAGATTTCCTTCTATGGAATGAAACATTTCAGCTGTTTGTTGGTGAAAATGTGCTAAATATGGAAAAGGGGGATTAAAATGAAAAGAAAAATATAAAAACAGGACAAAAACAGTAAGGACATAATACACACATCTGTAAATGTAAAATTTTATAGTCTGAAGTATATGAACTATTGATTTAACAGCTTTAATGTTATTATTCCACAGTGTTGATGACCCAGTAGGACCACCTACTCCCTTGTCACTCATTCACAGTGACACATTTACTTACACAATATAATGCCCTCATGTTATGTTATGTTATGTTATGTTATGTTATGTTATGTTGTGACAGTTTTTCCCTCCGGTTTCAAAAATTTGAAGGAATACTGACACATGGAAAGATGTCGGTATTCATGTTGAAAAAATCAACATCATTATATAAAGCTGCACTAAAGTGGACAATATCACCAGCTGCAGATGGCTCAAATTAATAATGAATGAAATGAAGTCACAGCACAAAACTTACAGTAACTAACAAAGAAATGAAATGAAGAAAAAACAAGCATGTCACTTTGTGTCACAGTAAATTCACTTACTGAGTCCTCTGTGGCAGGCTCAGGGCCTTGCAACCGTCGCCCAGGTCCTGTTCAGAAAAAAAAAAAACCACAACAACATAGTATCTGATATGACATCTGTGTATTGCAATACTTTAAACGTAAACTGTTGACCTCTAATGCTTCATTTTCTGCATGCACAAGTTTATTGCGTAAATATTTTGCATATTAATCCCTAAATAAATAGAAAATCGCATTAAGTGATTTTAGTCCGGTCACACAGCAGCTAAACAAAGTCTGTCCTGTTACTACAAAACCTCAAATATGTCATGCAAAAAGGCACCTGGCAAAAAATCACACTCCTCCGTTTACAAAAACAGCAAATAAAATGCACTGAACACGATTCATAATATTGAAATTTATTTAATTGTAGCAGATTATACAGTAATGTGCAAAAGTCTTGAGCCACCTTTCATTTCTTTACATTTTGATAGGAACATGTGAAATAGCTGCAGAGATCCATTGAAACTTGTATAAACATATATTGGAAATACAGTATAAAAGGAAAAAACAGATGTGTGTACAATCCTAATGCATATGAATATTTGGGATGACCACCTTTACTCTTAAACATAGCTTGAAATATCCTCTGACAGGTGTCAGAAAAACATGATGTGTTTTTGTAACAAAGTGCCTAAAGAACTGATTCTTTGCTAAGTATCAAGACACTGGTTCATCTCTTGAGTTGGGTCCCTTTTCATAATTGAATAAGTCATAGGTCAGTGTTAAGTGGCTTTAAAAGACATGTTAAAAGACAATTAAAAGACACGCCCCTGAAAATGTTCAGATATAAAAACATAAAAATGAAAAATATAAAAAAATAGGGATGATTCAAGAGGGATCACTGTCCTTTGTCCTCTGTCCTCTATTCGTATGAAAACGACACCATGTAAAAGTAGCTCACACTTGTGTTTTATAATCCTTTTGTTGTATGAATAAAAAAAAATACAGAAATGATTTGCACAAAGACAAAGCATAAGACTTCCACCCAGTCTGACCCCTGGCAGTTGTTTTGAGGCTCGGAAACTCTGGAGCCGATGATTAGACTATTTAGAGTTCTTCCTGGCAATAATTCCCTCCAGGGAGCTGCTGCCTCTGTTAAGTGATCCACTGTATTGACCCACAGATTGGACTTTGCAACCTCTCAGCTTAGCCCATCAAGGCTGCCAAAAAGGGAAAGTCTGACTCCAAATTAATCAAGTTACCAGATTATAATTATTACCTGCTCTATTCAAGTTAATTCCTTTTTAAATAAACCATTCGTTAACGTTATTTTGAGAGTTCCTTTGTTTCAGGGATGTTGTACATTTAAAACAAGGCTTGTCGAGTGGAGAATTACACAGGCATACAGTATGATTTCTGTAGTTTTATAGTATTGTTGACTAAAAAATATAAGTACTGATAAAAAAAAAGTACTGTCAGTAGAACTTAAAGTTGAATAAATTAATGCTACATGGACAAACAAATCATTTTCATTGCAGGAATAACGCTGGTCTAGGTGCTTTAGGTGTTTTATTTGGGCATAGCTGATATGTTGCAGGACAAAACCTCAAAAAACACTAAACTGTGGCTAAATTTGGAGCTCAAAAAACCATAATGAAAGTGTCAACTTCATTAGTGCAAACACCGCATCGTAATTTACAAGCAAAAGTCTTATTTGAAGCAAAAACAAATTATTGTAGTAAGTTTTCTTTTAAAGCCATCAATGAAAAACAGAATGACTTAAAATAACAGAAATATGTGCAACATTTGGCCTGTGTATATGGTAGATCCATATAGTTTCTCAACTCACCATCACACTGACACCCCACCCGCTGCATTACAGTAATGTATGTCATGTGAAGAGCTCTCACAGCCTGTGTAAGTGCATTAGAAGAAAGTTCGGGCAAGAGAGTGATGGTTTAAAAACCTCTTACTGCATCAGGATGTGTTGCTGCCTCAAGGTTAAGCCTTCAAGACAGTTTAAGAGCAATGAAAAGACAATCCAGCTCAGCTTTTTTTCACGTCTGATAAAGTCATTGTGGATTCATGTGATTAGAAATAGCATAAGAGGACATTTATCAACATATATCTATTCATCTCAAAAGATTTTCTCTGTGAACTCAGTGAGTGAGCACAACACAGTCTAGACATGTTAAAAAACATAAAAATGTGAGAGTCCTTACAGCCGCCTACACCATTACCTGAAATAGCGAGTGAAAGAGAAGAATCCTTCTCATGCACTCATCAACATCCTTCTCTTTCAGACCAGGTCTGACTGGCAAAAATAGTAAAGATTTTCCCATGATGTTACAGCAAGCAGCTGACCTACCTTAAGCTGCTGTTTGCTGAACTCCTGAACGTAAACTGTGTCAGTAAGAAAAGCTCCAAACTGCTCTTAACCATTCCTGGTGTGAGTGTGGCTGCTGAAGTGGATAAAATGATTTCTTCAGCCTAAGACGGACAAAGGAGGCGGGACACTTTAAGGTCGCAGTCACACCTTTCCTCAAGTTGTGTCACTCTATATTGTTTTCCAAGAACCCCCAAGACAACTTTGGTTCAGAGATTTAACTCTTTGCATGTTACTCAGAGAAAAAAGGAGATTTTGAGAATATGTAATGCACTAACTCTATGTAGACCATTTGTACTTTAATAAACTTAATTTACGTTTCATTGCTAATCATCGAAGAGCTACGAAATAGATCCTGAAAATTAAGATTTGTTTATTGACACTGCATGATGTATACAAAAAAATCACAATTCTGTAAATATGTAAGAGCACATTACGCAGGTAGAAATTGTAAATAAATTAATAACAGTGATAAGTATTAAACTGCAAGGTGTAAGTTCAGTTTGGTCAGAGCTGTGGGTTAAAAAAAAAACTGACAAATCAGAAGAATTAGTTAAAGTAGTTAAAAGAGTTACTAAGTAGATTCTTGATAAGTTCTTATTGAGTCTTTTCTGTAAACAAACCTAAGCACAAACACATTAAAGATCCATTAATCACTGAAGTCTCTGTAAACAGATTTTTGGGTAAAGACATAAAAGAGCTCCCATTGCTGTGGCACAGCTAATTTTAAGTTTTGCAGTACCTGAAGTTTCCATCTAGTGCCATCCATCATCGGGCAACCAGTTTAGGTCTGATACTTTCTGAACAGCTAATAGAAGGACTGCCTTTTAACCTTGACTGCAGTTTGATTGTAGTGCTAATCAACAGATGATAGCACACAAACATGTAAAACTGGGATGGTAAACAGAGGATGCTTGCTTAGCATCATCATCTAATTGTCTTTGTGAGCATCATGTGTTACACTAGAAGTAAGCTTTATACACATCCTTAACTTACATCCTTAATATACAGCCTTTAGGTGCCAGCATGGCTAGACCCTGGTGCTGTTATTATACAGAAACACAGTGATGGTGTTGTGGAGTATTTGATCTGGATTTTCATCCACAGTTAAAACTGTAACTCACTGTGGATGGTGTGCGATGTGTTTGTGCATTGTACACTACGGGGGGACTGAAATGACAGATTGATACATTCCTTATGTTATTCACCACTTAAGGTGGATGTTCTTTATTCCCGCCTCTGCTACGGGCACTGCACTCTTAGAAACTCCTTTCCCACATATTCACCGAACATTTGCAACTAAACATGTCAAAATAAAATCAGAGAGCACAGTTTTTATTTTTTGTTTGACTTATCAGAAGTTAGAGGAAAGCAAAGCCTAATGTTTCAATCTGACTTTCTATTATATTTTTCAGATTCAAAGCACCCTCCATAGATGAGTAAGCCGTTTGTGGTGCAGAACCTGCATGATTTGGTGCTGGATTTGGGTGTGGCTGATCTCTGCGGGCTCAGGCCGGCGTGTCTGCTTTCAAGCAACACTAATGTGTGAGCACTTAAACTAAATAATGCAATGCAATGGCATATAAACCTACATATTCTTGTTTATGTGGGTAAAGATTCAAATAAGATCGTAAACAAAAATCTAAACTGTAGAATTGCATTGCAAATCCTAACTGTATCGTGTTGTATTGTCCTCAGCTCATCTCTTACGTAACCACCCTCTGCTCTACTTTGTGTTTCCTGTTTTAAAAGCTCCCTGAAGTCTTCACTAAACTAATATAAAGTAATACAGCTCATTATTTGTGCTCCTGGATTTGGATTCCTCTCCGTTTTTGTTTGTTTTTTTCCTGTGCAACAGTCAGACACAAGCTCCTTTTAGTTGGAAGCAGTTTGCTGGGATCCAAAATATAATAGGATTTTAGTCAAGGGAGGGAAAAAAAGCTGAATTAGATTTTCTGCATGGATTATATTAACATGAGACTCCAAAGCGCATGCTTTCAATCTATTAATCTGCTTCAAACTTACAGCGAGTTTCGTCACAGCTCTGGAATTTGCATCCTAATCTGCCCGTGTTCCCGCGACATGCTGTTAAACAAAAATAAACATGGGAACAGTCCACACATATTAAAAATGAATTTGTCCAACTTAGGCGTGATACTCCATAATGGATCAGGATTGTTCGTTTTGGCTTCCAGTGTCTTGTTGATCAGCCACTTATCCGGATAACTTCCTCCCTGTCTCTCTTTTTTTATTTCTCTCTCTCTTTGACCTTGAGCGTTGCCTGAAGCTTCTCAAAGCAAAACAAACCTCGCATCATTTTGAGGGAGATTTAATTCAGAGTAGAGATGGAAGTAAATGAGGAGAACTGTGGGAAATAGAAAGGGGGAGCAGTAATGTGATGTTTCATGCTCCTTTTTACAGCAAGCATCAGCTGAGCCCTTAACTCATCATTTTTCAAGACAGTAAGGAATGTCTTCACCGTGTAATCGTGGATGTCCACTAATGAAAAACACAGATTTCCTGTTTATTATAAACACATTTTTCATAATTAGGCCGATAGAAACTTCAGATAAGCGTGCTTATCGTTTTCTCCTGACCCTGAATATCTGATCAGCCTTTTATGTTGCTGAAACTCATTACACTGTTTGACTTTTTGCAGCCTTGGTAAGAACACCTTCCCTAATTATGCTTGTAAGGCACATTTTAAGAAGAAAGTCCGTGCACCAGAAAACATCCACTCAACTCAAAACACAGAATGACTCATACATGTTGCAAATGTGTAACAGGGTTATTTCCTACAAAATGTTAATTTAAAAATATTTCACATGTGCACATAAACTATATATGGTCCAAGCCCACTAACCCTGACCCAAACAAATTTATATCTGGTTCATTTAAACTCCAAATGGTAACCAAGTTAGTAGGAAAAAGGATGCAAGATTAAATTATACAGAGCTGTTGGATTCATTTTTCATCACAGATATTCCTGGGAATTTTGGGCATGTTTTTTGTACACATTTCAGTGTTTGTTCGTTTTTTTATTTCAGTCTAAGTTGTCATGTTTCTATTTTTAACCCTGATTTGCTGAACTGCCACGGTAAAAATATCAGGTCTGTTTGCCTTTCAGGCTGCGCTTCAAACAGAGCAGGAGAGAAACGCAGAGCTGCCTGACATCCTCTCGATGATGACATCTTCAAACACTCCCCTGCGCTCTGCAGACACACCCAGCACTCACTGCAGGTCAGCAACACAGCTCAGCATCAGCACCAACCACCTTACACTCGCTCACTGCCTCTCTCCATCACACGCACGCACGCAAACAAAATCTCTCCCACTGCACTACTGAACCCTGCTGCTCAATCGGCGAATTGCTCTGGGGAGAACGGGCTAAGTCATACGGAGAAAAAACAAGGGGGGAGGAGAGCAGAGAGCGTAAAGATAACGATACCCACTCGTCCCAGAGGAGGCAGCGTGCCAGTTGGGAAAGGCCAGGTGGAAACAGTCGCACATGATGGCAGCGGGGGTGGCGGAGAGATCGGCGGAGACGAGGTCCAAGACTGGGCAGGAAGCGGGAACGGACGGAGGGATGGCGGCAGCAGTGAAGGATTAGGCAGGTGTTGCTGCTGCTTCTTCACCCCCCGTCTTGTCCTCGTGTAGGTCAGCCAGTCGCAGCGCAGTGAGGGATGAGTTGCAGAAATAACCAGAGACAGAAGAGAGTGAGAGAGCTTCTCCTGCAGTCTCCACAGAGTGAAGGAAACTACTTCGTCTGCCCCGTAAACATGGACCTCCAGCGCAGCACACTAACTTAATTATGGGAGGAGCTGCCCCCCTCCCTCAACAAACACACATCCACGCGCATCCCTCGGTTCTCCTTCTCCTTCTACTCCTCCTCTTCCTCTTTCTCTTTTTCCGCTGTCCTCTGGTCAGTGTGTCATTGATTGGCCTAATCTGACAAGGACCATCACGATGTTAGTTTCTGGTTCCAGCAATAACAGGGGGGTCATACAGTTGCCAGGAAGCCATAACTGAATTAAAACCCTTTTTGTGGACAGGAAACTGTAGAGTTTAAAGCAGAACATAGTAGCATGTAGCCAAAGTCTGTCATGTTGGTCTGCCAGGCTGATAAACTGTGGATGAGAGGTCGGAACAAGCTGTAAATAGATCACAGGAGGCATTTACAGGACTGATTATTCAAGTGATAAATTCAATTAAGAATTGAATATGAGACAAATTCAATCACTAGCTGTGCAGCTGCTATTTTTTTCTTGTGATTTCTTAGTATAATATTGTGCAAAAGCACTGAGTCAAACCTCATTTCTTTATATTTTGCTTATAAGGAGACAGACTTTATTTCTTATTTTTAAAAGTGGTCTTGAGAAATCGTTCAACCACTAGGGGTCAGGCTGAGTGGAAGTCCCAGCTGTCTGCTCAGAACATCCAAACACAAATAAATACGGAGGCTTGGTTTGTGTAGTGTGACTTTAATTGATTCAAACAACAAAGCGATTATAAAAAACGTCGAAATTTATTTCTTATATTTTCCACTGGTCTTGAGTAATAGTTCTCTGATCTTTTTCAAGGTTTTATAAATACTTTCCACTCATTGTAACTGACTATTTTCAGATTAATGTTTTGGGGATTTTTTTTATTAAGCCACTTAGCACTGACCCATGAGTCATTCGAGCATAAAAACTGGCACCTAATGGCACTCCTTGTTGTTCGGCTCACTCCTTTAGCCAGACAACTTAGCAAAGAAACAATTTTAAATTGTATCTTTAAACACTTTGTTACTTGCAGCCTGTCATAAAAACACAATTTGTTCCCATTTCTTTAGTAGAATCTGTGAAGGATATCAAAGGTAACACAGTTTTCCCAAAAAGCTATTAGCTGGAAACTTGGCATTATGTGCAGTGTGTCCTGAGGAATCTAGAAAAACAGAGGACACTAGAAAAACAATATAAGGAAAGAAATCCAGGAAAGCACTGACACAGGACCTGTAGTTGATCGAGCCACTGTTTACTAAAGCCTCATCAGAAATGGCCTCAGTTGAAGTGTAGCTTCAAATGAGGCCAGTCTTAAAGGAAGGGAAACACTGAGAAAAGGCTAAGGTATGCAAAATTATACAAGAACTGTAAATCACTGAAAACCAGTGACAACGGGTCTTATGGAGTGATAAATCCAAACTTGAAATTTTGGTGTTTGGGATCTTGTCAAAATTTATGAAATCATGAATGCAAAAAAGTATCATGCTGAAAAGAAAATGAGAAGAAATGACAAGAAAGCTGCCTAAAAATAAAGCTGCTCATACCTAATATTCACTTTCATGATCGTTAGAATTTCACAAACTCTGTTTTTGCCTTTCATACTGTATTTGCATGTATATTTTCACGTTTCAATAAACTGCTGCATCTGTTTCCCATTTTTCTAGAAAATAAATAAGGATTGGCTCAAGACCTTTTCTGTATTTTATTTTTGTACAACATCGAGTCCCTAGTCAACTTATAATAATAACTAAGCACACATTCCAGAAATGATAGGAATGAGATGTGGCTGTAAGAATCTGGAATTGAAATGCATGGAAACAAAAGCAGAGTGAAAGGAGAAAATCCTTTTAAAACCTTATCTTGAGCCAAACTGGCAAACCTTTGAACCAGTTCTTATCAGACTGGTGATGCTATACATGCAGCGCTTATGTCCTGGTGACTACTGGAATTGCACCTAATGAGGTTCATGCTTCAAAATAACTACCAATGTAAAACTTGTTCTTGGAGGACTTTGAGCATCCTCTGATTGATGTTTCTAAAATGTTTTAAGATTGAAAAATGTGAGCTCTGGAAATATAAAGCCCCCCTTTATCATTTGTCATGTTATTAATTATAAGGATGACAGTGCAAAAGCATGAGAATTACATAAATTAGGGAGGAAACTTGTTGGGTTTATCTAGGCACAAACCCCGCTGGAACACGAGACACTCAATAACTGCACGGGCTGACTTCCCTCGCGAGCCACAAAGACAAAGAGCTTTGTGGCTCGTGAGGGAAGTCAGCCCAGGCCTTCACCTGTACTTAGCCAACTTCGACTGATTCCTACGCTACAGCCCTTTTTATTGTCAGCAAGCAATCATTCATCAATATGCAATTACAAATACATGTGACATTCTTAAGCAGGCATATCTGAACAACATCAGTGTCTATATTCTGTGTGCGGGGTGTGTGTGCAGGTGCATGTGTGTGTGTGTGTGTATTTCCAGCTATACCATACATAGACATACAACCTTTCAATGAACTTAAACTGTGTGTATGAGGTATGCAGAAAACCAGAAGTAAGCGTCTCGCTAAATGATAAGAACAGGAACTTGCAATAGGTCATGTCTCAGTCGAACATTTAATGTTGTGAAACTGCGCTTTTAGAACAGAGCAGTGTATTTCCTAAAGCTATAATGGAAATTATAACGTCGAGGCTGCTTCCTCTCACCTCATGGTACACAAGTGCACACAGAATCTTATCAGACCTAATAAGGATATGATTTTTTATCAGCATACAGATGATTATATATTTCTAAGCATCAATGATTATATGTTTCTTTTTTCTTTTTTTTATAACTTTTTATTTATCATTTTACAGTATGGGAATACAAAACTTAAGGTCAGCATGGGAGACATTCACAGTTCCAGTAATAGCATCTACTTACATCATGGTAATATTCATTTATTCAGTACAAAGGGGAGTACACAGCCCATTTTTCCCAGAGCTTCTTAAATTTCTAGAGCTCGAGTCTAAGGACAAAGGTAAGCCTTTCCATTCCAAAAATTTCTTCCACTATCCCACGCCATTGGGCCTGAGTTGGAGGGTCTGCCTTTAGCCACCTACGGGTTATGGCCTTCATGCAGCCAGCCAAAAGTATTTTCAATAAATAAATATCTTTATGTGGGAGTGCCGTAGGCAATTTGCCAAGATACAACGTATCAAATGAATAGTCTATTTTAATCCCAATTATTTTGTTTATCTCAAGGGCCACCTCCCCCCAATATGGCTGAATCCTTGGACAGGCCCAGAAGACATGAAAATGGTTTGTATACTACCATATATTTTCGAGACCATCTTTTAGAGTCATTTCTCTTGTATGCCTCTTGAAAGATATGAATTAGGTTGTATTCGTTTTCATCTCTGATTAGCAACGTCTTGTTGTAATAGTCTCTGACCTGCAAGTATCTAAAGAAGTCGTGCTTTGCCAATCCGTATGTATCTGAGATGGTTTTATAGCTTTGGAATCCCCCATTTGTTGCTAGTGAACAAAAAGAAGTAATTCCTCTCAGAGTCCACTGTTTAAAGGTCCCATCCAGCCTGGCAGGTACAAACTCCGGGTCATAAGCTATCCAATTCAAGGTCTTAGCCTGCTTTTCTATTTGTAGTTTCCCCACAACCCTGAACCATAGTTTCAGGGTGAACCGGGTCAAATGGTTCAAATCTTTGTAAAATTTTTCAGCTTGGTTCTTATTTCCTAAAAGAGACTGTAATGGGAAGTCTAATTGTGTAATTTCCATATTTTTCCATTTAGCTTCATAGTTTGGGGAACACCAGTTTACCAGGGGCTTCAGTTGTGCGGCGTAGTAGTAATCTTGTAAGCACGGCAAAGCTCTCCCTCCCTTCTCTTTTTTCAATTGCAGCGTTTTATACTAGACCCTCATGATTATATGTTTCTAAGCATCAATGACAATATAAAAACATCTCACTCTTACAAAACTAACTGTAGTTTGAATTTTAAGTTGCTTACTTTGTCCACAGTTGCTATTAAACAACTTTGTGATGTTATGCTATCATGGCATTTTTATCGCTGGTATAATTCATTTTTTGAGGTGAAAAATGTTGGATTGGTGGCTCATAGCAGGTTGTAATAAATCACCTTAGGCTGAAGGAAAGTTTGGCATTATCACTTTTTCATACCATCTTATGTCATTAAATTTGGAAAACAATCACCAGATTAATAAATAATGAAGATGTTATTTAATGTCACTTATCCACTGTATAGAACAAATCAGATAGCAGAAACACTTCCTGGTTTTTTGCTAGTGTTGCATTGTTTTGGGGAGGGGTTGTAGCATAGGACAGATGTTCAGTTAACCATTAGAGCACAAAGTCGCACCCTGATATAGACTGAAACAGGAGTCCCTTTTGTGACTGAGATTGAGATATTACATCAGTAGAAGACACAGGTTAAGAGCTTTTTAAAACGAGGCAATTAAGACATGGCTGCTGTCCAGAAACCCTTACCCTTAGGAGAAGGAGGTTGTTGCTAATGTGGTCATATATTTTCCCAGGTAGTGCGTCAGAGGTTGACATCCCTCAATTTGCACACATCCCCTGTGTCAGCATCAGGTTTTTACGAGGACTCTTTGGACGTTTCACCTGCCTGCTGGCCAGTATCATACAAATATGACCAAAGGACTTCTGCGTTTACCCCTTGCTTGGGTGCTTTTGTGCTTGATCGTCAACACTAAGTGACATTTGGACCTGAGAGTGAAGGTAGTGGTGCATTAGCCTTGTTGGAACAAGCAGTCAGATCAATATTACAGAAATGCAAGGCAGCACTATTGTGTGACTGGCAGTGCAGGTATCAGGTTTCTTAGGTTGTCCGGGTCCTGTGTCAGATAAAGAACTCAGCTTTACATATGTGCAAAATAGCTGAAAAGGAATAGTTTGAAAAAACAAGTAGAAAACGAAGACTGCAGTAATTTTTCCAGATCATGTTTCCAGTGTCTACAGGTCTGGATAGGCATGTCTCCTCCAGCAAAGGAACAAAGATATCAGGTATCAGGACAAATATTTT